CACAGAGAGAGAGAGAATCGACGGCAGCATTCCCCACAGCACATGTGTGTGAATGGCGTTGTGTGTTGTGTGTCTGTGTGTCGATGTGCTCAGCTGGAGAGCAAGGTGAAGAATGTGCGTTACCTGAGCGAGCTGTGCAAGTGTGGCGTGTGTCCGCCGGGGGTCATGATGGACTACTTCAACAGCCTCATCGAGGACCTCACGCCGCACCACGCAGAAATGGCAGTGCACCTGCTGCAGGTAGGGCACCCACCCTCCCCCCTACACACACAGCCAGACAGAGAGAGAGAGAGAGAGTGCCGTTCCCCCTGTGTGGTCTGCTCTGCGTACCTGGCCAGGTGTGTGGCCGTTACCTGCTGTACACTCCCGAGACGAGTACCCGTTTCCAGAACCTCCTTGACAAGATGCAGCGTCTCAAGAACGTCAAGAACCTGCAGTACCGCCTGGAGATCATGCTCGACGAGGCACACCTGCATGTCAAACCCTCCGACAGGAAGGTGCGGCCCAAGAAGGAAAAGCCACCCATGAGACGATTCATCGACCGCCTCATTTTCGTCAACCTTTACGAGTGAGTAAATTATGCAGCGGAGGGAGGGAGGGGGGGATGGATGGATGGATGCGTGTGGTGTTTTGTGTCCTTCCTCATGTGTGTCCTCCAGTGACGACGAGAGCGACAAGGTGCTGAAGCTGGTGCGCAAGCTGCCGTGGCAGAACGAGCAGGTCGTCAAGTGGCTCAAGAAGGACATACTCGGTCAGCCCGATAATCCACCACACACCCACACCGCCCCCCACAGGAGACCCACTCTCCTCTCCCACCCCACCCACCCCACCCACAACATCCACCCTGTCTGTCTGTCTGTCTGTGTGTGTGTGTGCAGATTTGGGTATGAACGTCAACTACGAGTCCATCCACCAGCTGGCGTGTCTGCTGGCCGGGCTGGCCCGGTACCGTGACGCATTCGTCATCGACGTCATCGACCAGCTCACAGAGGACATACAGGTAAATAAGTTGAGTACCTTACCTGAGAGGCAGGCGGGCAGGGGTCACATGGATGGATGGATGGATGCGTGTGGTCATTCATTTTTGTAGGTTGGCATGGAGCGCAACGACTTCCGCGAGCTGCCCTCTCGCGTGCGGCAAGTCAAGCTCCTCGGCGAGCTATACAACTACCGGTACATACGTGTCGTAGAGGTGTCTGCACATGGATGGCATGGCGACACTCACTCACCCACCCATGTGTGTGTGTTCTGTTCTGCCGACACGACCCACAGGCTGGCGGACTCGTCGGTGATCTTCGACACGCTCTACCACCTGATCGGTTTCGGCGGCCCCTCCTCCCACCACGTCGGGCAGCTCATCGCCGCCCACAAGCTGCTGGACGCCAGCCTCGCCAGGCTCCAGGCCTCTCTGGCCAGCATACCCGAAACGCAGGACGATGAAGCTGACCCAAAATTCACAGGTCGGTGCGGTGCGCCCGCACTGCGCACATGGGATGGGAAAGGCGTAAGGGATCGCATCAGTGTGTGTGGTGTGTGTAGGGTGGGATCAGAACACGTTTTGGAACCCCTGTTCGCCGGAGGACCCGCCGGGCGACTATTTCCGTCTGAAGCTGGTGTGCATTATGCTGGACACGTGCGGGGCCTACTTCGAGCGAGGTCCCGCCCGACACAAGATGGACCGCTTCCTGGTCTTCTTCCAGCGATACTGCCTCATCAAGGTAGGGAGGGATGGATGGAGGGATGGCTGCAGTCCATTCATCCGTGCCATGTCGATGTGTGGATGGATGGATGGATGGATGCGGTTGGGCTGCAGGCCCCGTTGCCGATGCGGGTGGAGTACATGGTGCGTGACACGCTCGGCGAGCTGCGGCCGAAGCTGAGGCGGTAAGCTAAGCCATCAGTCAGGCAGTCATGCCATGCCCCCCGGCAAGGCCGGCACACGCACCTCTGTCTGTCGGCCGATCGATGGATGGATGCGGTTCAGGTACGATTCGATAGGCGAGGTTGACAGCGAGCTGCGCGAGATCCTCAAGCAGGAGAGCGAGCAGCTCAGGGAACAGGGCATGCTTGACCAACGGGACGAAGAGGTCCGTCAGTCGCCAACCCCTAGACAGACATGACATGTGCCATCGATGAGATGAACGTGTCGACGCATCCATGTGTGTGTGTGTCAGGAGGAGGGCGAGGGGGAGGGAGAGGGTGAGTACGAGACGGGCGACGAGGTGGAGACCGACCAGGACAACGAGGCAGACGAAGAGGAACAAGGTACTCACTCTGCCATGCACCCATCCCACCCACCTCTCTCTCTCATCTCATCCACCCCGTGTGTATTTGTATTGTGTGTTGTGGGCAGAGGATGAGTACTTTGACGACGACGAGAGGGACCCAGACTACGACCGAGGCGAGCACCATGACGAAGAGGTCAGTGCGGGCGGGGCGGGGCGAGCCACGCCTACGCACAGCCCTTCAGGCGATGCGATATATGCGTGATATCGTTTCTTGTTTCCAGGAGGATTGGTTTGAGAAGGAGCTCAACAGCATGGTGCAGGAGAGCATCGAGACCGCCAAGTTCGCCAGGTCCAAGGCAGATGAGATACGACTGCCGCCCTCGTCACTCATCAAACGGGGAGAGGTCGGCCAAGCACTCACTGCACCTCACACACAAGGGACCGACGCAGCCACTCTGTATGTGTAGTGTATGTGTGTGTATGCGATGCGCCTGTGTGTGTGTGTGTGGTCAGGATGGTGGCGAGAGTGACAGCAGGGACGCCTCCCCGACCAGCCCCGCAAGGGGCCACCAACCGTCGCTCAAGCTCGTCACAAAGAAGGGTCACCCAGCCACCACAACCACCACCACATATGGCACATCCACCGCCACTCTCTCCCTCCCTCCCTCCCTCCCTCCCTCCCCATGTCTGTGTCCACCGTCTGTGTATGTGTCGATGTGTCAGGTCACAGCAAGTACAGCGTGAAGCCGCTGCCGGTGCCGCAGGGCCACCAGCTGTGGTCGCACACGATGCGTCGTGAGGAGGCCCAGCGGGAGGCCGAGCTGGCTGAGCAGCAGGAGAGGGAGCAGCTCAAGATGTTCGTCAAGGGCAGGGTCGAGAACTTCCACCAGGACGAACGGGTCAGAGAGGGACCGAGGGAGGGAGGGAGGGAGGGACAAAGACACATGATGCACAGAAGGGTGGGGGTGTCTGTATGTGTGTGGTCAGCGTGATGTTGCCGGCTCGATGAGGCGGATGTTGATGCCCCAGCCTGGCGGATCTCCACAGGCATGCATCACTCACTCACGCACACACACACACACTCCTGCGCTTTTCTCGGCAGGGTGTGACGGTGCTCTCTCCCCAGTCGGCCTTCGCTGCTGCCGACACTGCGCGGCTCAACCCTCACGGCCCACTGGGGCACGTCAAGAGGAAACCGGTGAGTGAGCGAGCAAGGGAAGGACAACACACGCCATGTGTGCATCCGTCCCAAGTATGTAAGTGTGTGAATGCCTTCGGTGGTCTGGTCCTTCAGATGTATGTGGCGGTCACGAAGCAGCGGCCGTACGGGCGGGGTGGTGGGGGGCGGGGTGGGGGCGGTAGAGGGAGGGGGCAGCCGAGCGGGCCGCCCGCTCCTGGACCTCAGCGGGCGGGAAAGTCTCGGTTCATACAACCAGAAGAAGACTGATGGATGGATGGATGAAGTGATGCAGACGTGTGTGTGTGGTGGACGGACGTGTTGATGATTGAATTATCTATCGTATGTATTATCCTCGCAGGCAGCTAGCTGTCTCTCTCTGGCTGGGCTGGGTGGGGTGGCACGAATAGGTGGATGGATGCGGGTCGGGTCGGCCTCTTGAGCAAACAAGAGCTATGTACACAAACAAAACACGGGGCGGCCGATACATACACACACACACACACGCAGACATACACGTAATGATGCGACAAGTGGCTAGTGTACAAAACGACAGCAATACGTTGAATACACTTACAGGTACGGTCTAGTCTCTCTTGACAAAAACATCCCCCGTGACAAAAAGCGCTCTCTCCCCTCCCTCCCTCCCTCCCTCCCCTCTCGCCCCTCCCTCCCTCTACATGCACTCCCTGCTACAGCACCGGCCGTCCTCCTCCTTCTTGCCCTCCCTCTCCCTCTCCCTGCCGCCACACGCACCCCCACCCTCGCCCCCATCCTCGGGGGGCGGTGTCACAGACGTCTCCTGCGTGCTGCTGATGGTTGCTGTGGTTGTGGTCTTGGCCAGCCTGGTGTGCTGGTGCGTGACCATGATGCGAGGGGCCCGCAGCTGCGACATGGACGGTGGGGGTGAGGGGTGGTGATGGATCTGGGCGTGCTCGGAGAGGGGTCGCCCGGAGGCTTTGCTCAGCTGCTGCTCCAGGTTCGTGTTGAACTGACAAGTGAAGAGGCAGGGAAAATGAGGAAGCTAGCTTTGTGCAGTAGGGGTGCCGGTCTGGCTGTGCTGCTCAGCTACCTCTAGGATGGAGTCGTAGTTTTTCTGTAACTTGATGTACTCCTTCTTCTGCTGCTCCTGACAGAACAGACACATGTGGGAGTTGAGGAGCATGAGACGCGACTGTGTGTGTGTCCCCCCTGACTGACCAGCTCGGCGTGTAGTCGGTCGATCTGCGTCTCGTACTTGGCCTTCTCGCTATGTATCTCCTCTGTCTGCTGTGAGCACAGCTCCGTCAGCTCCCGGATCTGCTGCTCGCGGACAGACAGCGTCTTGCGATATGGCTCTAGGCTCCGCCGGTGCATCTCCTCCGCCTCTTTCTCCTGCTCCTTACTGACACACCAACAGACCCACACTCACTCGTGCGTAGACGGCTTCTTGTCCTTTCCGTCTTACAGTCGTGTCTCTAACTTGACGATGTGCCGCGCCATGTGGCCGAACGGCACGTCGGGCTGCCCCCTTCGCTGCCGAGTGGCAGCAGCCTCTGGCGGCCTGGTGCCTCTGCCTCCCCCTCTCTCCCACCCTCTCTGCTGCCGGCCAACGGCGTAGAAGATGCCCGCGGTAATGATCACAGCGACCACCACCACCGGCAAAATATAGAAGATCAGCTCCCGTGAGAGGTGGAGAGCCGTACTGCTCATCGGCACATGGACGGCGCAGGTAGGAGAGGGGACCCATCCCTTGGCAGTCGGGATCTCTACGTCCAGGTGATCGTGGTGTGGGCTCTCCTTCCCCTGGTGCTTGCCCAGCAGTGTGGCCAGGCCGCTGATGACGCTCTCCACCGATGTGTCGTTGGGCACTGTCTTATTGAACCCCCCTCCCTCCTCCATGAGAAGGTCATGCTCGTCATGCTGCTGCTGCTGCTGCTCTTGCGGCTGCTGCCCACTGGCTGCGGTGTTGCTCCTCTTGACGAATCCCCTTATCTGCTCAAACACGACCCTCCCGATGCGCAGCAGAGGGTCAGTTTGTCGGCGAACGGCATGTGGGTGTCTACGGCGCTGGAACGGACGGGGTCTCATGGCTGGGATTGGCTCTTCGGGGTCGCTGTGATGGTCGCATGGTGCGTCTTGGGTGATCGGGGGTCTGGCGGGGCTGGCGATGGGGCCGTGCGAGAAGAACAAGTAGGTCATGGCGCGGCGCAGGCAGACATCTTCATCGTGCACCTGGACAAAACACAAAGACCAAACCAACAGCCATCAAACCAATCCATTCCATCAAATGCTGTGCTCCACCATCCAATCCATGACAATTCTGCGTCCGTCAGTGGATTGAATTACCTACCGTCTGTGTATGTTCCGCATTGAGGGATGCACGAGCTACCGTTCTGTTGTAGGCGGGCCAAATGCATTGCGGCAACACATCGGTCACGGGAGCCCGGCGCTTCTCGTTCCAGCGGCGTGGCAGCGCGCTGCGGCCATGGCGGTGGCGGTGCTCAACGGCTGTTCGCGTGCCCTTGTGGATGCTGCGGAAGGTCTTGTCGATAAAGGACAGCAGCTGGCCGGCCGGGGACCGCTGGATGTGATCCCTCAGATGCGGAATGAATGCTCCCAGACACGCCCATGAGAAAAGGCACTGCAGAGCCCTCACGAGATTCATGTTGTGACGTGTTGTTTCCGCGCTCCCCCTCAATTCCGGCATCCCGAGACTGGGGTCACGTGCAGAGGAAAAGAGATGGAGAACAGGGCAGCGGCCCAACAAGCTGACATCTCAATTCATGCACCGCCCGCGAGTGAGGTGGCAAGCCCCGCTGTGTCGGCGTTCACCCACACCGAACGCGGGCATCGAGAGAGTCTCCAGGTCCTCAGCGACACACCCGGACACCGCCTTTCTGAGGCCCCGTCGCCCATCCCACAACACACACCGGCATCGCCACCAGGTAATCACACATTCGGCTGCCGTCGCGTATGTTTTCCTTTCTTGTTTTGCTTTCCTCATCGCAGGCAGTGTCCAGTTCGAGTCGTTCTTCCCCGAGCATGTTGCCCAGCCCGACTTATGGCGAAATGAGCTCTTGCATCGCGGCCTTGTCGCCCCTCCACCTTTCCCCTCACACATCGTTGTCTCGTCGCCACGAAGCGAAGACCCGGCTGACGACGATGGCCATCACGATGTGCGGCCGCCCATTAGGCCGCATGTCAGCTTTGAAGAGACAACGGTGCGGCAGGGGCCCCACAGCGTCCGGCTACACCGACCGTATCGATGTGACTGGGCGTCGTGCAAGCGGCTTTTCACTCTCTCGATGGGATTTCGGGCGTTCATCGTACCGGAGCTGAGGGCCTATGTTGTCTGGGGCATAGTTTGTGCGTGTGTGTATGGGCTGTGCTTTGTTAAGACTCTTCCTGGTGCCTTACACTTATTCTTTGGGATGGTCTTGAGCCCCTTGGTGATGCTTGGCTTCGCGATCCGTGCAGTGGTCTTTCGGAGGGAGCTGGGTGTCGCCAACGCCGCTGGAGTGCTCTCCTGGCCTGCTGGTTTGTACAAGAGACAAGAAAGAAAGAAACTGTATGTGTGTCTGACAATTGGGGAATTCTATCGCAGGTGTGTTTCTGGTGGGGGTGAGTATACTGATTGGAGGTGCGTTCCTCTCCCTGGCCCTCCGTCAGCCGTCTCTCAACCCATACGAGGGCCTCCTTCGGGACGCCTCGGCTGACCGCGATACTTATCTCTTCACTGACGCCGACCTGCAAGTGTGGAACGGCACGACGGTGGTGCGAGTGGACGGGCATCTCATGCGCGCAGTCATCGGCAGGACCAGCCCCAATACCCATAAGGAGTACCTGGAGGTCTTCGCCATGTGCGAGAGTGCGAGCGTGTGTGAGGATGGCGGGGTCCGTGGGGGCATCAACTACCGTCTTCTGAGGGACAACCCACAGCGAGTCGCCTTCCTTGACGCCATCGCCGCGCCGCTCTGGAGCTTCAGAACGACTCGAGACATGCCCGACGCATTTTATGACGGCAGCCACAGCATCGCAGAGCAGATGAAGGCGAGAATAGCGCGGGAGAGGAACCAGATGTTTATTCTGTGGGCGGATCTCCCAGACAAGAGGCTGGAGGACGAATGGTTTCGCAATGAACGCCTCTTCTGGGCGCTGTTTGGGCTGTCATTTGGTGGGGGGATTCTGCTGCATGTGTCAGTCGTGGTGTGTCGGTGGGCTTTCGGAGGCAGGAAGAGTGCGTATTTCTCGAGGGGGGAGGCGGCATGCTGATCGATTCGTTCGTGTCTACACCCATAAGCCTTGATAGACCAAATGTCGCTAAGACGTATGCACTGACTGACATGCAGACTATGCATGAATCGCTGTCTTGGCCTTAGCACGAATCGCTCGCTACGAGTAGAGCTGCATCTCCTCTTCCACAGCCTTCATGTAGAGACCATCTCTTTCGTCCACAGACCCACCTGTAAACAAGCGACAATACACACCGCCCTCCTGCCTGTGCTGCCACCACGCCCTCTCCCTCCTCTCACCATCGCGCAATCTGAGAGCCTCCCGCAGATACTTGTTCTCCAACTCCTGCACCTTCTCAGCAGCACCCCTCCCACCGCCCCTCTTCTCATGCGCCCACCAGAGTGTGTCGGTGTCCGCCTGCTTGCCGCTCGCCCAGCAGCGCCTTCTCGGTGTGACGCTGTCAGTCGGTGCTCGGAGGTCGCTTGGGAAGAAGAGGGGCTTGAATGCCGACGTACACGGGTGACACGTGGCCGTGAAGAAATGCAGGCATGGCTTGGTGGGCGAGAGGATGGATATCTGGGCCGCTGTTGACGAGAAGCCCCCGTGCATGCAGATGCCGCCCTTGCAGTCCCTCAGGATGCTGGCCGACGCGGAGAAATCGATGGGGTCGTGCTTAGCCAGCAGCGACTTGACGCGAGCACCTCGGCCACACATGACGTCACTCCCATCAGAACCTGAACATACCGCACACCGTTCCAAACGATGAGAAAACGGTCCGCAGTTTAAAGATTGAATACACACATGTGCTCGTAGCTCACCGATGCGCCCAGCACGACCGCCAAACAAGGCCTTGAAGTCGAATGGCTCCTCGCCGTCCCACCCCTTGTGCGCCTTTGCGTACTCGTGGATACCGTCTGAGTGCAGGTCGACGTTGGTGCGGATGGACAGGTCGTTGGAGATGTTTCTCGACTCGCCAGCCTTGACACGCTCGGCAACCCACCATTTGCCGGCGGTCTCCAAGACCCAGGCCTCGGTCGGATCACAGATGAGGAAGGAGTTGTGATAGCTCCTGAGGCCAGCCAGCCACCACAACAAGACAGTCAAATCATCCAACCAAACCATTCTTCCTCCTCACCATGAGGGGTCATCCTCTGCGCACCCGCCACCCTGTCCATGCCGTTCCAGCAGCTTGGTGATCTGCTCAAGCGCCTCGCGTGCCGAGCCACCTCGCTCCAGCCCCAGCCGCAGGAGATCCATCCCGAGCAGTGCAGGGGGTCCGTCCTCCTCTGTGGTCCACACCGCCTCATTGCCGATGACGACGCCCTTCTCATTGGCGCCCATCTCGCCGCCCCACATCCACGCCGGCTGAGAGAGGACGACAGCGAGTGTCTGACACGCAGAACACCCATTCAATTCACCCATCAATGGGGTGCGTCGGTGTCGGTCTGTACGTGTGTGTCCATGTCGCACCTGAGGGGCTTGGGGTAAAGTGATGTGCGTGCATTGCACAGCGGTGTCAGGAGAGTGAGCAGCGGCCGGGTAGAAAGCGATATTCTGCACCTGCAGCGAGAGATACACACACGACTCACATCCCATTTTCATCTTCCTGTTTGTTTGCACCTCATCTCGCGGCCTATCGGAGTTCTTCCCGAAGATCACTTGGCCTCGCTGCACCGCAACGAACGTGTCACACGACGTCGGTGGCCTCATTGCTCGATGATTCAAACAGTGGGGCAGCAACAGATAAAGAAGCGCACTCGCCAGCTGAATGAATGGGAGCCACGTGGGTCCACGTGGCAGATCTCGGGAAAAAGCTTCAAGCTCGCAGCTCTGCCTGAAACCGCTGCTGCTCCCTAACCCCCTCCCCCCCGTTTCCACAACACCAAAGCGCCACGCAGCGCATAAGAGCAGCAGCAGCTCCAGCAGCTCCCAGCAGCAGCAGCAACCAACAGCAGCAACACCCGTCGGCACTGTTTAGGCGTCGCAGCTGTCCCCTGGACGCCCGGTGTTATCATTAGCACCACCAGCGGCATGTTCTTGTTCCGCCGCGACCTGGAGACCGCCCCTGGTCCCATTCCCTGCCGCCCATCAGACGACCCCGAGGTCCTTTGGCAGGACGCCGCCAGCCGCGAGATGGCCGTCACGCCACTGCACGACGAGCTGGGCTTCGTCGACTTCGGCGGCACTCGCAGCAGGGCCCGCAGGGCGGCCAAGAAACACCAGGCCCGCATGCTTGGCGAGGAGGCCACCGACGGTGACTGGGTCATCACCGACCCGCCACCCCCCGCCCAGGACACCACTGCACGGGCGGCTGCTACCCGTCAGTCATCGGCCGGCGGTGCAGCGACGACCAGCAGTGCGTGTCCCCCTGCCACCACCCAGACCCCCTCTCGCCCTCGCCAGCCTATGGCAGCGGTCGTCCCGCCTGAGGAGTTCCAGGAGCTCTCGCAGAACCCATACCATCAAGGTGGATCCGCTGTTGTGCCGCCCGCACCTGCCGACATACCGGCGCCCGTCATGGACAAGCCGCGGGACTTCAGTCGCAGCTTCACCATGGCAAGATTGCTACTCCTGCCCAATGTGCCGGCCCCTCGTCGGTCGTGCGGTACATAGAGTCGATCGACACGAATCTCGACGAGAAGGCAAAGCGGTGTCTCTACCTGTCACAATTCGAGAGGGCATTGCCACTTGATGCCAGGAGTGCCGATCAGATTGACTCGTATCTGAGGGTTCTCGGGGCATGCGAGGACGAGCTGGAGTCGGCCAAACTGTGGGGCGTCATGGACATGCTGCGCAGGCTTCTGGAGATTCACAGGACTCTCGTGCCTCCTGAGATGATGGTCCAGGAGGCGGCAGCAGGGGATCACTGGGGGGCCATCATGGACCTGGGTCGGCAGGAGATGGAGGGCGAGATGGCGTTTAGGACCTACTTCACTTCTGACCAAAACGGGACCAAGTATGCAACACAAGAGCAACTCTGCACAGGAAGATCCATCAAGACTTCTCTCCCCCTGTGTGAGTTGTTTTGCAGCATTCTGCTCTCCATCTCCGCACCTGCGTTGGCCATCAGCGCCGATCCGCCCACTGTGTCGTCGCCCGATGAGGCCCGTCACGCCTCACCCTCCCCCAGCCCCTCATCCACGCCCCAGCCACTGCAGCCCCCATACACCGGCTCTCGCCCGTCACGCAGCGGCGCACCAGACAGCCCACCCGAGACGGCCACGACACCGGGTGAGATGGCTAACGAGCCGCTGTATGAGAGGGATGACGCGGCCAAGACCGACAAGGACCCCATGAGGGTCTACGTCTTGGAGGTGGGGCACATCGACTGCTGCGGCAAGACCGACGGGACCTTCTCGGTGCAGGGCAAGGAGTCATGCTTCTCGCCAGAGATGCAGCTCATCTGGCGGCTCTACAACCAGCGGAAGGACAGGACGCTGAGTGGTGGCGCCACCAATCTGGCTGCCAAGGCGTTCCTGGACGGCATCTGCACAGACGGTGCCCTCTTCATGCAGTTCCTCACGGAGGATCTCATGTTTCCGGGGTTTGACCACCGCCAGGACTACTGGAGCGGGGCGATGGCGGCGCTGTCGTTTCTCTCGGGCAAAAGGGTCATCGAGCAGACGGGGAGGCAGATCGACCAGGACCTCCGATGGCAGTTCCAGATCGATGGCACCAATCTGCATCTGCTGCATCTGGCCGCCCAGCGAGACAGGGGCGGGGTGGCCGAGGGGGCAGGGGCGGGGGCGGGGGCGCAGGAGGGAGGCGGGACGACAGCGGCCACCAGTCTCGAGGCCCTGGCCGAGTGCATCTCTCGCGTCAGGGGCGGGCAGCAGAGCTGGTTCAGCCTCGCCCGCCTGTGTGTCACGAAGGAGTCCGAGACCGTAGAGAACTTCGTCCACCGTCTGACCAGCTGTTTCCAGGTGCAGGAGGTGCCAGGAGGAGGCGTGGATGCCGTCATGGATGAGAAAGTTAAGGGTTTCCGCGACCGCATCAGAGCCGGCAGGACGATCATCGCACAGCTGATCAGGCCCGATCCGCTGCAGAGGGGGACGGCGGCAGCGGAGGAGGTGCTGCATCAGCTGACGCGGCTGATCGAGGCGCGGCCCATCAGGATTCGCGACGAGGACGACTACATGATGCTGCGGGCGAGGAAGGCTGGCTGGCCCCACGACCACTTCTATGTGCGGGTACCTAACCCGTTCGCGACCTCCGGGTGGGCAGATGGGTGTGTAGGTGGCCATGGGTGTGCCCACAGACGCATCGCATGCATTATAAGCTTGTGCGTGTGTGTGTGTGTGTTCTGTTAGGTGCAGGGAGGAACCAGACGTGTGACTGACTGACTGACTGACTTGGTTGCGAGCGGGAGGGCGGCCGGCTGGTCAGGCGGTCGGATGATGGCTCACGGACAGAAGGACTGGTTTTGCGTGCGTGTCGACGTATTTGTCGATCGAAGGGCTCTGGATGTGAATCGCCAGCGGTGAGTTGTGCTTCTGGATTGAGACTTTTCGTTGATTGAAGTGGATGCAGTCATCGACACACGTGTGGCGTGGAATGAATTCATTGCATTCCGTTTGACCAACACCGCATGGCATGATTGATTGATGCATACATACATACATACACACAATGCCATCCATAAATGGAATGCAGTCACACAAATCCCATTAACATTGTTGGGAGGGGAGCCAGAAGTGCTCACGTTGGAGAGAAGAGCTTGGACAGGTACACACAGAAAGAGCAAGCGCCGTTTGCTCTCTCTGTCAAAGTTCTTCTCTCCAATTGAGCACTTCTGGCTTTACTCCCAGCAGAAGAACCCGTCAAGACGCCGGACTCTTTTGGCGGGAATCAGGTGGGCTCTTTTCGAGGGCTGCACTGCATTCATGGAGCTCCATCTTGCTATCAACAAACACGTCTGGTCTGGACGTACGTACGTATTACAAACCAGTCTGGCCGCCTGTCCGTCTGTCTATCTGTCTGTCTGTCTGTCTGTCTGTTTGCCAGCCATCATCCGACCCCCTGTCCAGCCAGCCGTCCTCCCGCTCCCAACCAATCCATCACACCGACGCCTCTGGTTCCTCCCCTGCAACAAACCCAGCACACACACACACACACGAGGTGATACACACTCATCCATTCATCCATCCGTCCATCCCGCCACCCATTCACCCACCTGGGTAGCCGCACATAGAAGTGGTTGTGGGGCCAGCCAGCCTTCCTCGCCCGCATCTGCATCCTCTCGTCGCGAATCCTGATGGGCCGCGCCTCGATCAAGCTCGTCATCTGCCGCAGCACCTCCTCCGCTGCCGGCGTGCCCCTCTGCAGCGGATCTGCCACAATCAGCTGCGAGATGATGGTCTTGCCGGCGTCGATGCGGTCCGTCTGGCCCTCGATGACGGCGTCCACGCCTTCTGCTGGCAGCTTCTGCACCCCGAAACACTCGGCCAGCCTGTCGGCGAAGTTTTCTACGGTCTCGGACTCGTCGGTGACGTACAGGCGGGCGAGGCTGAACCAGCTCTGCTGCCCGTCCCTGACGCGAGAGATGCACTCGGCCAGGGCCTCGAGACTGCCTCCCTCCTGCGCCCCCGCCCTCGCCCCTGCCCTCTCGGCCACCGCGCCCCTGTCTCGCTGGGCGGCCAGGTGCAGGTGGTGGAGCTTGGTGCCGTCGATCTCGAACTGCCATTGGACGTCCTGCCCGATCTCCCTGTCGGACACTGTCGTCCTGACCTCTGCACCGTCGTCCTGGTCATCCTGGACGACCGCCCGACCCGAGAGGAAGGACAGTGCTGCCATGGTGCCGGTCCAGTAGTCCTGGCTGTGGTCGAAGCCCGCGAACATGAGGTCATCCTTGAGGAACTGCATGCACTTGGCGTCGTCAGTGGCGATGCCGTCCACGAACTCCTTGGCAGCCTGACCGGTGACCCCATCGCTGAGCGTCCCGTCCTCTCGCTGCGTCTTGAGTCGCCAGATGAACTGCATGTCCTGCACAGACAGACACACAAAACACAACAACAGAATTGTGAGTGGATGTGTGCATCGCATCAATCACATCTGGCCGTCCGTGCTGTGCTTCCTTACCGGTGACAGGCACGAAGGAGTTGTGCCGTCGCGTATGGCGTAGCTACCGATCCCCCCCAAGCTACCGATCCCGCCCACACCCAACACGTAGACCCTCATGGGGTCCCTGTCGGTCGATGGCGTGGCGTTGACCGATCTGGGGGCCTCACTGGGAGGGTCAGATGACGTGCCTGGTGCGCCGCTGCGTGACGGGGATGGCCCGGCGGGCTGCAGTGTCTGCGGCGGGGATGCTGCTGATGCCGAGGCTGATGCTGATGCCGAGGCTGATGCTGATGCTGATGCTGATGCTGACGCTGATGGTGAGGGGGAGAGGGAGGGGGAGGGGCGAGGGAGCGGATCGGCGCTGATGGCCAACGCAGCAGCATAGATCGAGAGCAGAATGCTGCAAATAAGCACACACAGGGGACATATCTTCCCGCCAACACACAGGGTGCTGTTCTCTTTCTTGCGTACGTACGTGGGCCCATTTCGGTGTTGGGGAGAAGTGAAGTACTTCCTAAAGGCCAGGTCGCCCACCCTCTCCCCTCGACCCAGCTGCATGATGACCCCCCAGAACCCCCCTCCCACCCGTATGTCTGGCAGGTACTGGGAGATCTCGCCGACATGTCTGGCATCGAGTGGCAGCCCGGGTATGATACCCATGATGTTGACAGCCTCCCCTGCTTCCTCCCTGCGATTCGTGCGGTACAGCGAGTTCATGTACCGCACGACCGAGTCGGGACCCCCACTGGGCAGCAGCCGCACCCTGCTCAAAAGACTGAAGCCGGTGAGGGCGTGGGGAATGTCATCGTCGTTGCCAACCAGCCACCACCCTCCCTCCAAGCCCCCCTCCACGTGCACCTCCACCTGCACCTCCACCTCGCCCATACCGACGGCAGCCTAACTCGAAAAGGCCGTCATGACCAATGCGACCTGGAAAGGGTCAATGAATGCAAGTGTATCCATTGTACGTCCTTCTTCACTGTCTGTGCTGTGTTCTGCCCACCGGTGTCCTCCAGGTACTCATCAGGCTCAGAGTGTTTCAAGGCGCTGCTGCAATAGCGCTGCTGTGTGTAGTGGTCCACAGGAGGTGCTGCTGTGTGCCGCTGGCGATGTATGGATCACAGCGCGCTGCGAATGAGCCGGACGTGGCCCGGGACGGCTGCGAATTGGGCTGCGATGCCTAAGCCGTGCCAGCAGCGTTGAATTTGGCGCCCTGCTGCCGCCGCTAAGCGCCGAAGCGGCGCATTTCTGTCAAAGCCGATTCCCGAGTTAGGGCGTTGAAAAACCGAGAGAGCGGTTTAAAAACCGAAGCGCGAGCTTGTAGCAGAAGCGCTGGACACTGAAAATGGTGCCCGAGGGTGACCCCTGCCTCTCTAAGACAGTGCGGGTGGTGGCAACGGCATGGATGTTTCTTCTGATGTTTCTGTTCGGCTTCGTGAGCCTGGTGCTGCAGCTGGCCTTCTGGGCGCTCTGCCTGCTGTGCTTCATCTGTAATGCGAGGCTCAAGGAGCTGCTCATGGGCCACCTGATGCGCGGGGGGAGCTTCTGTAAGGAAAGCACGCAGAGAGAGGAGATGCATGCATTGGTTGTGTTGTGCTCCTTGCGCTTTCTGTCCTCTCTCAGTGGCCATCCTTCTGAGCCCATTTTGGCGCGTCAAGGTGATCCGCAGGGCGCCCCGGGGTTACTGCCCATCGCGGACTCTGGTCATGTGCAACCACCTGTCTGGCGCAGACCCATGGATCACCAACTACTGCCTGTACCCCTGGCCCCTCAAGTACGTCTACAAATCGTCGCTGCGGCAGGTGCCCATACTGGGGTGGGCACTCCGGCTGTCGGGCGACGTGCCCATCTACTTCAACAAATCAAAGGGTAACAGAGGGAGCGAGGGAACGTCGGGGGGCAGATGATATCGGCGTATGTCTGTGTTTGTCCATGTGTGTGCGAGTGCAGGTGGTTTTGGTACGGAGCCGGGAACGGTCAAGAAGATGTTCGATGTATGCGATAAGACACACACACCCGTGGCGAGTTGTCCGGCAGGCATGATTGATGCCATCTCTGGGTGTGTGTGCGCGTCAATATCAGCGATGCAGGCAGCTTCTCGACCTGCGGATCGGCATAGTGACATTCCCCGAGGGCACACGGAGCACGACGGGCCGGTTGCAGATGTTCAAGGATGGCTTCTTCAGATTCGCCGTCGACGAGCACCTCGAGATACTGCCCATGGGTACGCGACAGGCGACTGGAGAGAATGTGTCCACCCACCCTTTTCGCATGGCTTGCTGTGTGTGTCTGCGTGTGTGTGCGTCAGTCGTGCACAGCACGCCCAAGATATGGCCTCTGGGGTCGTACCTCGCGTCGCCGGGGACGTGCTACGTGGCCATCGGAGACCCCATAGCCCCAGAGGTCAGTCAGCTTCAACACAACAGCACAAAACGGAAACCTGTATACGCTCATCTCTCTCCGTGTGTGTGTCAGAGTTGGAGTGAGCCGTCCGAGCTGCCGCTGGAATCTCAGGAGGGGCTTGACGGCATGGAGGTGACGGAGATATCGCACGAGCAGAAGGTCGAGATCCTCAAGGACAAGGTCAGGGAGGCCATGATGGAACTACTCAAAACGTCACCCGAGTTCGACGAAGCGGTAGGTACAACACAAGGGCGGCCAGTGTGCTGTAGATGGGGGGCACTTTGTTTGGCGCATGACGTGTGTGTGCAGGCCGAGCAGCCGATGATTGAGATGACCACCCAGCGGGGGCACATGAGGTGGTGAATGGCGGGAGAATGGATGGCTGTGCAGAGGCCCCAGACGATTGTTTTCTTCCGTTTTGACCAAGTCCATCCATCATTTATTGATTGCATGCTCTGTAAATAGCCAGCGCGTCTCTCTGCCCTTGTCCTCTCGATCACGTCAACTTTGTTGCAGACATGACATTGCATCACACGTGTGTGCATGCGAATTTTGTCCGTGTGTGTCACTGAATCTGTCCAGCAATAGTCCCACGCACACGCACACGTGACGCCCCGACGTCTCGTCACACATCTCATCGACACACCACACACGACACACAGCACCACACGCTTCTCACTTGGCCACAAATTGCGGGTGTGACACCAGCCCCTTTCCCATGCTGGCCATCACATGACCCAGAAAAGCTACACTCGCACTCTGCCCTCCTCTCTCACCCTCCCCGCCCGCCAACTTCAGCTCAAAAGCCGACGGATGGAGCTTGACCGCAATCAAGGGCGGCGGGGCGAGCAGCGGGTTGTAAAAGAACTCAGCCGTGCCAGCAAACCGCTGCCGCAGCTGATTGACGAGCATGGCTGTGAGGCCCCCGGCCATGGCTTGGTCAGACAGCGCCTCTGGGTGGATGTCGGTGCTGCCATCAGGGTCTTGGTTGCTGCTTGCTGGGAGGTTTGCAAATTGCTCTCTTTGCGTCTTGAGTCGCTCCTTCTTGTGCTGGCGGCCGAGTGTCTTGGCGATGAATGCGGCGAGCTTGGGGAGGGGGTGGAGGTGCAGCACCAGATCGAAGGCAGACAGGGGGGCGGTGAAGAGAGGCGCCCAACACCTACACACAAACAACGGGGTGAGTGATTGTGTGGCCGCCCATCCATCCATGTCGTGTGCACCTGAGGCCGGCGGATGGATGCTCGAAGTTCTGGCGGAACACATCGAGGGCAGCCCTGACAAAGAAAGAGATACCACCACCATAAGGCGAGACACACACGGGCATTGCGAATCAACCCCCTGTGTGTGGGGATCTTCATCTCACTCCCTCACTTGCTCTTTGCGATGATGCGTTTGCAGTTCATGGCTGTGGGCAGGGGCAGCAGCAGGGCGTGAGGATCGAAGAATGAGGACACCCACAGTGGCGGCAGGCGGGATGTGGACGCTCCCTTGCTATGAGCCCTGCATCACATCACCATACACAGACACGGCGGTCGGGGTCGGATGGGAGGCCTCACGGACCGGACCTCTCATATGCAAGTTGCAGCTGGTGCTGCTGCTCGGGGTTGTGCGCCAGTGTCTCGTCAAGGTCGACCGTCAGCGGCGCACCCTCCCACTCAAAGCCGCTCACAAACAACAGACACCTGCACACCACAACCATCCACACATATCATCTCGCAGGCGCCATGACATCAAAATCAAACCCCCTCCCTCCCTCTCTCCGTTGTGTATTCTCACCTGACAAGACCCACATGAGGGGTGTTGGGTGGCTCCATGAAGGGCGATGGGTCTTGGAACACCCGATACACGACGTGCTCGCACCAGTCGTCGGCACGGTCGACCAGCTGGTGGCCCAGCCACTGCTTGACCAGCCGCACAGTGGCGCTGTAAGCCTGGTTCCTCAAAGCCATCGCACGCAGGAGGGCACCCACATGCGGCCGCCACCACAGCTCGCGAAGATCCTTCAGGGATGCGTCGTCGGGCCGAGTCTGACGGACGGGGGAAGAAAGGACGGGCGCATCGCATACAATACAATACAATACACACAAGTCCATGCCATGCCATGCCATGTGTGTTTTGGTGTGTTGGTTGACCTGACCTTGAGGTTGTGTGCGGGGTTGGTGACTTGTGCAGCGATCCCCCCCACCTCCTTCGGGTGGAAGATGCGCACACGGAAGATGTGCTGAGTGGATGGATGGATGGATAGGTGTGGCGAGTGGGAGACGACAGCAGCACACATGATGGATATGATGCCAGCATGAGTCAGTCCATCGCTCCGTCTCTCGGGGTGTGTGCGTACGTCAGGGTATTTGACGTCGGCGTAGGCGGCCGTGAGATCGGATTCGATGCCAAACTCAGAAGACATGTCAGACCTGCATAGCACACAGGACGCACCACGCACACCATACAATACACTCCACACACACATGGATAGACCGCCGGCCTTAAGCTGGCCTCTCTCCTTCTCGATCTCTTGCTCACTGCAGCTTGATGAGGAACGCCGTCTTGATTTTCCGAATCGCCGCCTCATCTGTCGGCCACGCTCCCGAGCCCTCAAACTCTATTACCACGTCATGCACACGCCGGTGGCCGCCATCCTCCTCCTCATCTGTGTGGGCCGCAGCACCGCCCCTAAGCTCCCTCAGCAGCCGCGTGTTGCTGACACCGGCCGCCCTGGGCTCGCTGCCTACGGCGCAGTAGCGGAATGACGGCGACACTGGCTTGACCTCCTTGATGGCCAGGGGGAGCGTCGTCAGCTCGTCGAGGTGGCTCTTGAACTCGTTGAAGGCCGACCACAGGCCGGTGCCGTCATCAGACACCGATGGGCTCATCGTCAGGGGCGCTGTGTGGATGACACACCTCTCGCTCTCTCTTGCCGTGGCCAGCGCCCCCTCCTCCTCTATCCCTTTGCGCTTGTTGCTTTTCGCCGATGACGTCATTTGCACGTCGTTGGTGGCGTGCAGTGAGGGGAAGTAGGTCTTGAGAAGGTGGCGGATGATCTGTGTGGGGACGGAGGGATGTGTGGGGTGGCCCTCAGGGAAGATGCAGTCGGTTGCCGGGGGCTGCCACACCACACATTCGAGGATGGACGAGTCGCGGAATCGGCGAATCTCCGACTTGCCGCCCCAAAACGCTCTACACACACACGCACCACACACGGAAAACTGAGATAGCCACCACACACGTGTGATGTGGATACTCGTCTGTGTGTGTGTGTGTGTGTGTACTTGAATCGTTTGGCTTCGGCAGTGTCGGCCGAGGGCCCCTTGTCGATGGCCCTGTTCATGTGTTCCCTGTCCAGCATGAGCCCCACGGCCACACCGCAGCACCGCGGGGGCACCTCCTCGCCATGCCAGCAGTACTTGCCGTCATCACTCTCGCTCCCGGACGATGCGGGAGGGACGAATCGAATGGCATAGCCATGGACGCGATCGGTGAGGCCTCTGCGCAAGAGGGCCACCAAAGTGGCGGCAAAGGCCACATGCGGCAGCTGCTCCCACTCTGTCGCTTTCCCTCCATGATCATCAAACAGGCCCTGTGGCAGACAAAAGCAGGCAAACAGGGAAAATGACACTGACTGACCTGTGTGTCGGGTCGAGTGGCTTACGGCTTGTGGGAGTTTGTTGGGGGGCGGTATGGCGTCGTGGGGTACGTGTATGTGGAGGTCCCATGAGAACTCGGGCCGGTACCTGATGCCGAAGAGGGCCGTGAAGGGGTCGCTCGCAGACTCCAGCAGGGACAGAGTGCGCCGCGCCTCGTCGTGAAGCTCCTGCGACAACAGCAGACCCAATCCATGCCTCTTTCCCTCCCTCCCTCTCTCTCTCCATCCCTCTCTCTCCCTCCCTCCCTCCGATCTGTACCTGCATGTGCAGCCCACATCTCCACAGCACGTTAAACGTCTCCTCGTCCGAGTCATACAGCGCCCCCTGTCCCTGCGGCGGATCCTTGTCGCCCCTCGCCGCACCACCGCCCCTCCCAAACACCCACTTGTGGGTCAGCAATTGCGGCCTGGCGAGAAAGGCCATGGTCAGCTTGAACAGCTGCGGGGCGGCTGTGCTGGCGGCCCCACTGTGGGCACGTGTGCAGTGTGCTGCGACGAGTGAGAGGGTAAAGCCGTCGACCGATGTGAAGTGGGGGCATTTGGGTGTGGCAAGAAAGCCCCGCTGGAATGCCCATGTCTTGATGAGGTGGAGGGTGTCTTTGAGGGCGGGCCACTTTTCGAGGCACTCGACCAACAGATGCACGTGCCGACGCATCCTGACGCGGAACACACACAGGCACACGATTGCAGTCAACAAAGAAACACACAGGTGTCTGTCTTGTTAGCTGTGCTCCCTGCCTCTGCTGACCGCATGTCTTCGAGCACAGCGGCGTTGTAGGCCGGAGTGGGCGGCAGGGCCAGCCCCTCCCTCTCCACCTCCTGCGCCCTGCTCTTGCCCACCCTCTCCCCTCCACCCTTCTGCACACTCCTCCTGTACTCTTCCAGAGCCAACATGCTGCTCGTCGTGGTCGGCTGACGCACCGAGTTCCAACTGGGCGCCAGTCGCGCCTCACGGAACGTGTCGTCGCTGACGACGGGGAACAGCCGGACCCTCCAGTTGTGAAACCGCCTTGCGGAGGGGTGGTCTTGGGGCGGGGTGACTGTCATGATGATGATGGGCTTGCGAGGGTCGCCGTGCCACGCGTGGAAGGCCAGTGAAGGGCGGAAAGGGGCGAGGGGGCTGGTCGGTGTTGGTGCTGGTGCTGGTGGGGCGGGGGTGGTGGCCTCGCTGTTGCTGCCGCCAGTCTTCCTCTTTTTCTTCTTTTGTCGTTCTGGCTGCTGCTGCTGCGGTGTGTCGATGCTGGTGCAGATATCCGTCAGCTGGCGATGCACCTCACCGAGATACGCAGCCCGCTTGTCGAAATACCTGCAGGCACCATCGTCCAGACGCAGAAACCAACAGGGTGAACACGACCGCACCGCACCACACCCATGTGCCCCCCCTCCCCACACACGCACACACGTACGCACCGGTAGTTGATGTGGTCCCGCTCCAGGAACATGTCCTTGGGCATCTCCATGGCGATGTCAATATTGGTCACAGGCTTGGTCACCGCCTTGAGCACATAGCTGCCCACGACATCCACTCTGGCCGGCCGCGTGAAGGTGAACGCAGCGGGGAGGATGAAGTGGAAGACCAAGGAGGGGAACTCACTGGCGAAATCAGCCGGGATGTCGCGGCCGGTGAGCCTGTTGAGGGTCTCGTTGATAGCGATGAGCAGCGGTCCGAACTCCTTGAGGCGCGCTGCCTTGACGCCCACATTGGCCAAGAGCTCCTCCAGTTGCAGCCTGACACACATCAGACAGACACAGAGGGAGAGGGAAGGCATGGCCATGGGGATGGATCAGACGGATGGATGAGGTGGTGCACTCACTGCACTCATTCATTTCGTGAATCCATCTGACTGATCTATGTGACACTTCACCTACCTGTAGAGGTTGCTCTTGTACAGCTGGCGAGTCTGCTTCAGATCCAGCAATTCCTTCGTGTTTGGAGCGTGGTCCAGGCCCTCCTTGTCCTTGGCTGCTTCTCCCTGGTGATGGTGGGCATCACCACCCGACTTCTGCTTTTCCTTCTTCTTCTTCCTCGGGATGCCCTTCTCCATCGATTAGCAGTCGTGTGGAAGAGAAAGAGGAAGAAGATCTGATGCTCGAATGATCTGCGAGCTTGCTAGCCAGCCTTTTCCTCTCGCGTTCGTTGCTTCTTCCTCCTCTGCGCTTCTCCAGGAATGGGTAGCATCTATCGTCGCCTCTGTCGTGCGATAGCCCGCTTTTTCCCGAATCGTGACGCTGACTATGACGACAGCGACGCAGAGCCACAGGACCCTGCCGTCCTATCGTAAGCACATCCACCACACGCACACCGTATGAGACAGACCAATGGGATACGTTCGGGTGGATGGGAGTCAGTGAGATTGTCGCGAGGTGGTGTCTTGCGTGTCTTGAGGTCAGGCTGACGTTGAGCGATGCTTTGAAGACCGCCCGAGGCCCTTGCCGCCAGAGGGGAGCGAGTGCGGCGGTGGGCAAGGTGAGGACAGGGCAGTGAGTGGGGGCATTGGGAGCCAGGCACACGGTCGGCAGATTCATATGGGTGTGTCTTGAATGCTGTGTGATGTGATGGGAATGACTCGCTCATCATCCAGAATGGGTGTGACCGTCGTGGCATTGACCCCTTTATCGATGTGCTCGAGAATATCGCTACCACAGAGAATCCCATCAGGGTGAGGGAGGGAGGGAGGGAGGGTCACACAGAAGGAAGGAAGGAAGGCAGTGAACGAATTCTTTGCGTGTCCATCAAAACATGCATGATGCATTTCGCTTTCCCGTGTGTGTGTGTTCCCCTCCCTGGTTGTCTGTCCAGGCGAAGACTCATACCTTCCTTCGGTGAGACGATGCCGCACTCACCTCACAAACCCACAGGATCTTTGTGCCGACATGCATGTCTCTATATTGGCTGGCCTCTGTCCGTCCGTGTGTGGTGTGGATGCAGTTGCGTGAACCGTTTGAATCGCAACAACCAGCTCGAGTACAAGCGGGCCCGGCTGGACCACAGCTTCGCAGAGTTCGCTCTCAATCGGGTACGGTCAGGTCAAAACACCCACATACGAAGGCAGGCACCCAATGCAATGCATCCTTCCTCCCACGTGTGTCATTCATTCATGTGAATCGAATCAGAGCCAGCAGCTCAAGTTCTACATCGAGCGTCAAGATGACGACTGGCTGCTGTTCGACCCATACGACATCAAGCAAGACACCCCGCGGACAGACAGCAGCAGGAGCGGCAGCGGCCGGCTCTCCCTCCCCTTCGCCTCACTATACGCCCGTCCCTCCGACTCATCCCTCTCCGCCACTCGCATGGGCGGCGCCAACAACCCCAAGGAGGACGACGGCACGCCTTCCCCCGTGCTGCCGCCATACCCCATCGCACACGACACCGTCGTGTGGGCCTGGAGGCGAGACAGTGACGACTCCATCGATGAGGTGGATGCGCTGCAGCGGGCCAGCAGCGACGGCCGGCAAGTGAGGAGGGATAATGTGCAGGGGCCGAAGCTGCGGCCGCTCAACAGCCGCAAGTGAGTAGATAGGGAGAACAGGGCGGGCCGACAAGGGAGGGAGGGAGGGTTTCTGGTCACGTGTGTGTTTTGTATGGCGTCTCTGTTGGTTGGTGGGCAGGCGTGACGGTCCGATAATCCGATGGAACGCCCCTGGTGCTAGTTGTGTAGAGGTGATGGGAAACTTCACCAACCCGCCGTGGACAGTCGCCCTCGAACTGTTCAAGTGCTCACGGTCAGTGAGTGAGACAGACGCACAAGACAACCCACTGGATGCATCCACCTTTCCGTGGCTTGTGTGTGTGTTCAGGACGGGTGTGTTTTGGCTGTCGTTGCGTGAGGTGGTGGACCACATCCAGCCGGGGCTGTACCTCTACAAGTATCGCGTGGACGGCGTGGTGACGGTGGATCGGAAGTTGCCCATCCAGCAGAGCCACAACGGACAGCTCTTCAACATACTCGTAGTCCATCAGGTCGGCAACCCCACCCCACCTAACCTGACAACCACACCGACGGCACGCGCATCCATCTGCATTTCCCTGTCCGTGTCATGTCTGCCTGTGTGTGTGTGTGTGTGTGTCAGATTGCCCTGAAGCACGCCAAGAGCTTTGAGGATCTGCAGAAGCGCCGAAGGTCCAGCTCGGCCGGCATGTAAGCCAACACAACAGCCCCACCACATATCACACATCACACATGCCACATGCCACATGCCATCCATCCCGTGTCTGTGTGTGTGTGTGTATCACTCAGGCGTGTGTACCGTCCAACGACCCGCATCGGCCTCCCCTCTCCCCCCACCCGCACCCGATCCGTCCCCATCTCGCCCGACAAGTACGACGCCGCCCGCCACGACTCGGACGACAGCACCAAGGAGTCCACAGGCGACCCTTCCTCCCCCAGAAGCCCAGGCACACACGCACACGACGATGCCGAGCCGGAGTCCCCCCGCCAGTCGCTGCTGGCCGGCCTCCCTCGCACCCTGTCCACGCCTGCATTGGGGACCACCGTGAGCGTGAAGCGGCACCACAGGAAGAGGTCGATCCAGTGCGGCGAGGGCGGCGAAAGCGGCGATCTGTCGCCCTCGTCGGTGTCGTCGTCGGGCAGTGGGAGCGGGGATGAGGGGGGTGGGTACGGGAGGATGGTGGTGTGCCCCACTGGGGCTGTGGGGTGGACCCCCGAGGTCCTCAATTGCTTGCACGCTATGCACACTCACGCAGACGTCATGCTGGTACGCACCCCACCCCACAGCACAGCACAGCACAGCACGGGAGCGTGTCCTGCATTGCATGTTCTCGTCGCTTCTGTGTTCGCACATTCATTGGTTTCCAAGGAGATGAATCTGCCCGACCTGCGCCACGCGAAGGCGCTGCGGCTGACAGCTGGGGCGTGCTCCATCCCACACCCGGACAAGCGCAGTAGAGGCGGCGAGGACGCATTCTTCATCTGGTGCGCAGCGCACGCACCAGCCACACCAGCCAGCCCACCCATGCCATGCAGCCACACACCCTAGTGGCATTCTGTGTGCTTGTTTGTCCTTGCCTTCTTCCTTCCTTCAGGGAGACGACGTCCACGGACCTGGCGTGGTCGGGCATCGGTGTGGCCGACGGGGTGGGCGAGTGGACGAACCTCGGCCTCAACGCCCGGCAGTTTGCCGACGAGCTCATGGACGGCTGCAAGCGGGAGGTCGTCCGCATCAACGAGCGGCTCGAGAGACGCCGCACCCGACACATTGCCCGCCAGCAGCTGCTGCTCCAGAGACAACAGGCGGCCATGGCACGCAAAGCGTCTGCGCCATCGCCGCTGCCCATCATGTCCCGCAACCTCTCGTGTGACTCTGACGACAACGATACCGGCGCGTCGGGTCTGTCTCTGGAGGCGGCGAGACGTCTGGCGTCGCCGGGGCTGCCGGTTGGGCAGGGGGGCCTGGAGGGGGAGTCGCTGATGGCCGATGAGCCGCTGGAGCCGCCATCCAGTCCGCTGATGCAGGCGCTCGAAAGAGACGAGCGGGAGAAAAGTAGGTGGGGAGGTGGACGGATCATGGGGAAAGATCGACGCAAACCAAACCTGTCCTGTGTGTGTCTGTCACACTTGTCCTGTGTGTCAGATTTCTCGTATTATTCCAACTCGTTGGCGACGCTCTCTACCCGCGATCTCTCGGCGCCCCTCCCCGACCCCACTCCAGCCCCCAAGCCCCTCGCACACTCCGCCAAGCGCCCCCGCATCACTGCATCCGTCATCGCAGACAACGCAGAGCTCTCCAGCAGCCCATCCGAGACGCCCGACGGCTCGCCACGGGGCTCCCCCACGCCAGCTGGTGACTGCGATGGCGAGGCCTCCCCCTCTGCCTCTGTGCGTGACGAGGCGCGTGCGGCTCGGCTGCAGCGGCGGATGCTGCAGGTGCTCAAGGCTGGGTATGCCAACACACGGGCGTGGGGCAGCTCCACTGCCTGTGTGGCGTGTTTGGATGAGGAGGGCGGCCGGCTGGGAGTGGCCAACCTGGGCGACTCCGGGCTCATCGTTCTCCGGTGAGTGAGAATGGATGGACAGATGAGATGAAGAGCGGCGTCACGGCATCCATCCATCAATCCATGTGTTTGCTATGATATGACTGCCAGGCGTCAGACAGCGTATGAGTTGGAGGTGGTCAAGAAGACGGTCGAGCAGCAACACGGGTTCAACTGCCCCTACCAGCTGATGCGGGTCCCCAAGAAGAGCGACCTGCCATACCTGGAGCAGAACGGACTGCAGCGACTGGCCTCATGGTACGTCCGTGACCCTCACACACACAAACGCCTTGTGCAGTCAGTGCATCCCTCTCTCTCTATGTGTGTACTCCATCCATCCATCTGTCTATAAGGGTCCGGGGCATCCCCGAGCCTGCCAATCACGATCTCCCGGAGTGCGCCGACATCTCCACCGTCGACCTCATGGAAGGAGACCTCGTCATACTAGGTGCGTTTGGATGCAGACCAGACACACACTAACGGCAGGGCAACCACAGGGCACTTACATACGGACGTGCAGGCACCGACGGTGTGTTTGACAATTTGTTTGAGCACGAGATCGCCGCTCTGGCGAATCTCGCCATGTCGCCATACGAGGCGCTGCTGCTGCACGACCAATCCCTCACCACTTCGCCAAAGGTGCGTGGCGTACCCACACACACTGATTGACCACCACACACACACACGCACAGAGAGAGAGAGGAGAGTGCGCATCCACGTCGGGCTGGGCTGTGTCCATCCTTGTCTCTGTCTGTCTGTCTGTCTGTCTGTCTGTCAGAACATCGCTACGGCCATAGCAGAGGCGGCCTTCAACCGGTCGCAGGACCTCACTGCCCGCACCCCGTTCGCATCCAATGCGGCCGCCTCGCGCAAACTCATACACAAGGGCGGAAAGGCAGACGACATCACCGTCGTGGCCGCTTGGTAACCAAACACACACAGACCCACGCACCTAGAATGGAGGCACTCTCACCTGACCTGCCTGTCTCCGTCTCTGTCTGTAGGTGTGTGCGTGAGCCGCCCGTGTCCCCCCAGCCCCCCGCCATCGCGCCGTCAGCGCCCCCCGTCCCCCTGCCCCCCACCAGCTCATCAGAGACCCCTCCCCCACTCTCGCCACGCATCGCACCCAAGTCGCCCCCACCCACTGGCAGATGGAGACGCACACAGCAGAAGAATCCTGCTGCCGGCGGGGAGAAGGTCGTGGGCGCGGCTGCGGCTGAAGGTGCGAGTGCGACCGCCCTGCAGCAGAGGGGGCGGTCGTATTCCGGGCCGATTGGCGCGGCGAGAGGGCAGGAGCAGCAGAGGCCCGGAATGCGCCGGCGTGTTTCATCGGACAATGTGGGCGGGGGCGGCGTGCTCAGCTCTCTGCTGCACGGCGAGTGAGTGACGGATGGACAGCCTCAGAGTAAGAGAGACAGAGAGAGGGGGGGAGAGAGGGGAGGGGAGGGCGATCTGTTGAAATGGGGGCGGGGTCGTATGGCTTATTCTTTTATTGCTTTTGCCTAATCGGACTGGACGTGTCTGTCGATTTTTCTCGTCGATTGGATCGACGCATGCCATGCTATGCTGTGTGGTGTGGTGTGGTATGCCACGCGGGCCAGACCTGGTGGGTGGACGGACGGATGCGTAGGCGCCCTGGGCTGGCAGGCTGGGCTGCGTATGCATTCGTGCCTCTCTCTCCTTGACGCCTGCCTGTACCTCACCTGCATTGCATGGCATTCCATGGCATGCACCAACGACTGTCTGCTGGTATAGCGCTCACGTCAATAAATCGATCTATCGTGTCGAGAAAGGGGGCGGGGGGAGGGAGGGAGGGGTGCAATGCACTGCGGTGAGTGAGATGGGATGGTATGTCGGTCGATTTTTCTCACTATGGTGGTGTTGGTCTGGTTACTTGTCTGTCTGTCTATGTTATGTATGTATGTATGTATGTGTAGTGGCTTGGCTTGGCTTGGCTCGCTCCACCTAACGCTCAATCGCTGTTCGGTGATGCGATGCGATGCGATGCGTACCTGCTTCTCATCAAGTGCGACAGGTTCGCAAACGACACAACATGCCTGCCTGTGCCTGCCTGATCTCACTCTCCTCCCTACCACTCCCTCTGTCACGTCACACCATATCGTCTGTCTTGAATTCCATCTGCTCTCTTCTCTTTCCGATTTTTCCGACGTTCCTGACGCCCATTCATTGGACGGGCGGGGCGGGGTAGGGGGCAAGGATGCACACACACACACACACACGCACACAGAGAGAGAGAGAGAGAGAGACGCGCAATCCATTACACACACATACCGACTCACTCACTGCTCAGTACGGACGCTTATTTGTAGTCGGGCGGGCGGTTGGTTGGTTGGTTGGTGGGGTGGGTGGTATACAGACCTAGAGAGTGAGAGCGTGGGCACTGACGACTCATATGAGCCGAGAGACGAGAGAGGTGGGCGATGGATGGATGGATTGTGTGTGTGAATGCATCTCGGAAACCGAGCCATCGTGTGCAATGGTGCATTGATTGCATCGCCTTGTACTATGCTGTGATGTCATGTGATTCATGTGTCAGTGAGTCAGACAGTGAAAGAGAGACCGAGAGCGAGGCCTTTCAACTGGTGATACTTGATGTTGGAAAACGATCTGCACACGCTCGCCGAGGGCTTTCTTGCCTTGCGCCCCGTCTGTGCGGTGCGTCGTGTGTTGGATCAAAAGGCATTGATCGTGCGCCTGAGTATCCCTCCCATTTTCGGCCCGATGGGGAGGGAGCAGCCAGGTCAGGTGTGGGGTATGGTGTGGTATGGGTGGGTCGGGAACACAACACAGCACACGGACGGCGTGGAAGCGAGCGTGGGGTGGAGGAGTGGGTAAGAATGAATGGATGTATATGTCTCTCTCGAGTATGTGTGTGTATGTGCTGTCTGTCTGTCTATTTTCCCCCCTCTCTCTGTCCGTGTGTGTGTTACGCTATGCGTGTATGTTTGGGTGGGTGTGGTGTGGTCTATGTGTGACGATCTGATCTGTTGTCCCTCATTCGTCCGTGCAGTCTTGGAGAGGATGCCTCTCGGCCTGTCTGTCTGCCTGTCTGTCTGTCTGTCTGTGCTGTGTGCCAGCCTTGGTGTCTTGATTGGTGAGTACGAGAGGGGGTGAGATGAGATGATGCCAATGATCATGACATAGCGCTACTAGAGAGAGATCAGCGAGTGCACTTACTTCCTCTTGGGACATCCATGCCATGCGTGAGACGAACCTCCCTCCCTACATGCTCATGCCATCCATGTTGTGTTGACTTGACGACGCTCTGCATTCCTTACTTCCCTCCCTCCCTCCCTCCCTCCCGTCTTTCACTGCACCATTTTTCGACTGGCTGGTGTCTCAGAGAGACCACACACCACTGATGAGATGATATCTGCGAGTGAGTGAGAGAGGGGGAAACCTACCCGGGCTGACCTGTCTGTCACACACGAGAGAGGGAGACAGCACGCGCAGCACAGCACTGCACACGGCACAGCAACGTCCATCCATGCACTTGCTGACATGAATGAATGAATGAGTGCCCAGCCATGCCGCTCACTCCTCAAGTTTTAGACCCTCTGCCAGCCAGCCAGCCAGCCTTTCACCCTCTCTTCACCCTGTGGAGCATGTCCACGACATCCCGGTGGCCTCACAAGGAGACATGTGAGGCCCACAGGATGGCGTCGGCCGACTGCGCAGGGGGAGAGGGGAGAGAGAGTTCCGAAAGGAAAGCCCACTTACCCGCACGCAGAGAGAGAGAAAAGGATGGTTCTGGTGTGTCGACGGACGTGTGCTGCGTGCCGTTTGCGTGGCATGGCCCTCGGCAAAGGTGATAGACGCCAACACTCTGGCCTCTGTCACCATTCTGTGGTCGATGCGACGCGAGCGGATCGTGGCCTGCCTGTCGACATGACATGTGAGAGCGGCTCCGATGGATGGATGGATGGACTGAGGAGTTTTGCCGAGGCGACGGACGGGCGGGGCGGATTGATTGGTGAGAGCAAATCGGTGGACGCGGGAATGAGCTAACGATGAGTGTGTCCGTGTGCGTGTGCAGCCAGCCAGCCCTTTTGTATGTCTGTTTCCCTCTCTTCCATTGCCATCTCAGCTTCCGGACATGTATGCCTACCGACTCACTCATTCGTGTCTATTTGTCTCCTCCTGCCTGCCTGGCTGTCGTGTTGTCGCCACCCACTCACTCATACCATTACATTATCCATGTCGCGACGTCTGTCTGTTCTCCCCCGTCTCTCTCACACTGATGGCATGGCAATGATGGCATTCACACATGAAACGGCGCAGTGGTCTCTCTCTTTGTCTCTCTGGGGTCTGGGCCAAAGGAGGGAGGGAGGGAGGAAGGGAGTGTCTGGGGCATTTTTCTCGCCAAACGAACGAACGAACGAATGCAGTCCGTGATTTTTCCTGCCTTGCCTGCCTTGCATTTCCTCTCCTTCTCTTTCTCTTGCCGCTAGTGACTGACTGATTGATTTATTGACTGTGCTTTGAAGTGCATCCTCTCACCCACTCACTCCACTCACCCACGAGCCGCTTACTCAGTCACTTGTACTTTGTCTTCTCCCTCCCTTTGCTCGTTGGTTTGGTTGTTCGATGGGATGGGATGGGATGGATGAAGCAACCAAGTTCATACGCGCCAACGCACAGCACAGCACAGCACATTGTGATGGATGCCGCTGAGCCGTGTCGTGCCGTGCTGTGCTGTGCTGCTCGAACGGATGGATGGATGGATGGTGGATGGATGGATGGATGGACGGAAGGTGGTATTTTTGTCGTGTGTGGCCGTATCGTTTCGTTCGCCGTCTGTTTCTATGAGGGGTGTGATGCTTGCACACGAGGGTGTTGCCATCTCTCGTTGATGCACGCATCGCACACCGCTGGCACGCAGGAAGGCGAACGATCGACACACGGGCCTACCCCTTACACACACACACACACACACATAACCGACAGACCCTAGTGAGTGACTGAGTGAGTCAGTGATCTCCTCCCTCTTTTCTTTGTGTTGTGTGTCCTACTGGCTGGCATGCCTGCCCTGCCCGGTGTTTGAGCAAGCCACCAACTCATTGCGTACGAGAGAGTTTTTTCTATTGACGAGTGCCCTGAGTGTGTATGATATAGATGAGATGGGGGTGTGCCCTTCACTCACTTTGCGGGCGGTGCGGTGGAGAGCGCTGCTGTGCTTCATGTGCTCTATGCTTTTTGTTGGTGGGTGTGGGTGACGTGATCGATCTGGTGTGACGACAGCTAGCGAGATCTGGATGGGTGTCTGTCCGGATGGACTTTGCATCAAGACCCGGACACACAAGCAGTGCTGTGCTGCCTCCGTCCGTGTGCATGCCATGCCATGCGTGTGTGGGAGGGTGCATGCAGCCAGCCGGCTGCAGCTGGCCGTCGATTGAATGCGCACCATTTAAAGATCGTGTGCCAGTCACTCATGGGTCACTCCATCCCATCAGAGCCGCCCTGAAACGATGCATGAGGCCTCGGTGCCTCTCCATCCAGCAGATAGTGCACAGCTATAACTGTGTGGTTCTTTCAGCCCTTCAGTCATTTGAGTGAGTCTGACACCAACCAGTAGGACATCCATCCGCCCATCCTTTGACGGCACACAATGCAATCAGTCAAGCCACCACCCAATTCAAAACACTCAGCCGCACTGCTCGTCAGTCGCCATCAAATGTACCACCAACACCCAACCGCCAGCCCCTACCCCTCACCCCACCACCCTCCCCCCCTCGATGACGGCACTTTCGAGATCGAATCGCCGCAGCACAGCACACCATAGGGGCGCCGACCCGGGGAAGCGGTCGGCGAGCGGATGAGGCCGATCGGCAGCAGGTGCCTCGGTCGTCCGCAGCTCGATGTAGCCGTACCACACCTTCAGGTGGGCAGCGATGGTCTCTCCCGGTCTGTGGCCGCTCACAATCACATAACGACGGTCTTCCGCATCCGCATCATTCAGATCGCCCCAGTTGCGGCGCCCGTCGACAGTGATGCGCTGATCCTCTGTGATCTTGTCGGTCAGCAGATGGCCATAGCGATGGTCACCACGGCCGATGTGTGCATCGATCAGCACCCTGTGGCTCACTCCCTCTTCATCCGGCCACTCGCAGAGGAGCAGCCTGTCCAGCAGGAATTCCGAGAATGAAGGGTAGAGATGGCTGCTCCCGCGGACGACGGGATCGCTCCGCTTGTAGCTGTCAGCATAGCGATGGCCGCCCGGCAGCTCACCCAATCCCACCACACGAAACGCCCAACCATTGCCGATCTTATAGTGTCCGCGGTCATCGGCTTGCGACAGCTCCAGGCTGGTCCCTCTGTAAGTGAGCTGACGGCTGATAATTTTGTAGATGGCCAAGGCAAGTGGCAGCTGGTGGAAGGCCGTTGCTGTGGGCAGCGACTCGGCCGGCAGACGGAGGGGCCGCGCCGCATCAGCAGGGGTGAGCCGTTTCATAAAGGCCAGCCGAAGGAACCGCCCCATCGCCCGCCACTGCCCCGCTCCAGCAGATAGACCACCTTCAAGCCGGCCTCCAGCTCATCGCCAATGTCGAAGTCCAACACGTCCGCCAGCCCGAGACGACTGATGTGCTCATCCACGCGGCGCCTCACCTCATAGAGCATCGTGTCCGCATCATCGGGATGGCTGTTGCTGATCTGTGAGCGAAGAGCGGCCCGTCTGTTGGGGTCAGCGGACATGGCCATGGCGGCCATCTTGCTGATGGCGATGCTGCGCAGGGGCGGGACTGTCGAAGGGGCGGTGGGGCGATTGGGAGGGGGAGGCTGGGCAGCGGACGCCATCAGGCAACTGATCTGAATCAAGGGCACACAAGTGACAGTGCTTCCGAGATGAGTGTGGGTCTGTGTGCTTACCTTCAAACACTACGGTGTTCAAACACAGATGGGTGTCCGGATGGACTTTGCATCAAGAGCCGGACACACAAGCAGCCCAACACCATATGTGACGGATGCGCGATGATTGACTCTGCAGGCACCCACACAGCAGTACGGCCGCTGTACACATGATCCATCAGTGTCAGTCAATGCGACAGCGAGGGAATCAGACGAGCCACCCACCATCAGCAATGCCCACCAGCGGCCCAAGTGAAGCAATGGCGCGGCTATGCGGCCGTCGTCCTCGTGTGAGAGACAGGCGTGTAGACAGTTGGAGGGTACTCCTCCCAACTCATTTTCAGCCAAGCGCGCAACCATGTCTTTTGTTTCTCGGAGGAACAGTGCGGTCTGCAAATGAAGCTTCTGTACTCGTGCTGGTTGGGTATTCTGCCCTACATCGTCCCCACACCGGCATTCCACCCCGCCTCCCCCGCCCATGGCCTCTCATCCCCCTCCCCACTACTGAGTCTCTCCCGAGGCCGCCAGCACCAGCAGCAGCAGCAGAGGCACCCCTTTCGGAGGCGGCATACACACGCACACGCATGGCGGCAAGATGCAGAAATGCCGCAAGAACCACCGGAGCTCGACGCCTCTGTGGATGATCTGTCAACATCAGCATCACGGAGAGATGCTCTGCAGCTGCAGCTCGGGGCATCTGCCGTCCTGCCAGCTGCAGCTGCAGTGCTCGGCTCACCTCTGCGCGCGTCTGCAGATGAAGAGCCGACAGCGGGCAACGGCGTGGGCGGCATGGGCTTCGAAGTGCCCAAGGGCACGGACAAGCCGTGGCTGCAGATCAAGATCGACTCTCGCGAGACGCTCTTTGACATTGACTTTGACGCGTCCAACCCGCGCCACGGGCTGCTGGTGGGCGCCAAGGGGACGATTTTCGAGACGCTGGATGGCGGCCAGACGTGGAACCCCAAGTCGCTGGCGGTGCTGGACCCGGAGGAAGAGGTATCTTATCGGTTCCAGCAGGTGTCTTTCAAGGACGGGGAGGCGTGGATCATCGGACAGCCGCCCATTCTCCTGCACACCACGGACGGCGCCAAAACCTGGCAGAGAATTAGACTCTCGCCCAAGCTGCCCGGTGAGGGACGGGAGGGAGGGAAAGGAACGTCCCTGCAGTCCATGCATTGGGAGACTCCTGTGTGTGTGTGTGTCTGTCAGGTGCGCCCTATGGGATCTACACTCTAGGTCCGAACAGCGCCGAGATGACGACGTCGAGCGGCGCCATCTACACGACCAACAATGGCGGACTCAACTGGAAGGCCCAGGTCAAGGAGACCATCGACGCCACCCTCAACCGCATCAGCTCCTCGGGCGTCAGCGGCGCCTCCTACTACACGGGCTCCATCATTAACCAGCAGCGAGACGCATCCGGCACCTACCTCGCCGTGGGATCGCGTGGCAACTTCTGGCTGTCCTACAAGCCGGGCCAGCCCTACTGGACGCCCCACAACCGCGGCAGCAACCGGCGGATACAGAACATGGGCTTCATCGACGGCGACCTGAACAAGGGGGTGTGGATGTCGCTCAACGGGGGCGGCCTGCAGGTGGCCAGGGACGCCAACTTCGAGGTGGATGTGCCCACCTTTGAGAGGGTCAACATCAAGACGGGCGGCTATGGCATCATCGACGTATCCTGGAAGGGCAACGATGAGGTGGGTGCCTGTGGGGAGGGAGGCTGGCAGGGAGGGGAGGCAGACAGGCACGAGTGGAGGGATCTCTTTGTGTGTGTGTGTGTGTGTGTTGTAGGTGTGGGCGGTTGGTGGGAGTGGCACCATGTACGTGTCGACGGATGGCGGCAAGAGCTTCAAGTTCAACAACGCCGCAGACGGCATTCCCGGCAACCTCTACAGAGTCAAAGTAAGCTAAGCTAAGCTAAGCCAGCCCACCCTGCACTCACACACTCCACACAATGGCATTCCTTCATTCTTTTCTCAAATCTCTCTCTCTCTCTCTCTGTCTGCGATTGTTCAGTTTTTCGACAACAAACAGGGCTTTGTGCTCGGCTCGGACGGCGTGCTGCTGCGGTACACAGGCAGGAACATCAAGGCGTGATGGAGAGGAGAGAGAGAGAGGGAGGGAGGGCGGGCTGGGGTTACTCACTCACTGACGACGCGAGAGAGCCGCTCCGCCCGGACAAGACAACGCAGTTGTCTCTCTCCTTCATTGGTGTGATTGCACTATTTGTCTTTTGCGCAACCAACGGTCGACAAGACGGAGGGGGGGAGAACGGTGGCAGATCCCGATACGTGCGTGTATGTGCGCATGACTTAGCCAGAGAGGGAGGGAGGGAGGGAGGATTTTTCGCGCCATCGCACCTGCTTGAAGGTGACGTGTCGTGTGTCCTCCGTAAGTGCGTGCCTTCCTGCCCTGCCCTGCCGATCATCGGTCTCTCAGCTGTGGGTGCCCGTCAGTCTTGCGAATGCAAGCTTTAAGGTGCCTGCGTGGATGGACGGACGGACAATGAGTGACCCGGGAATTCATTTCACAGCACTGTTGTGAGTGCGATCGGTCTCAAGAGTCCGTCCGGAAATGGATGCGATTGATCACACACATGATGCCTATCTATTCTCTCTAGTGTCTGGTCGTCGATTCAACTAAGCACAACGGAAAAAGCTCTTCTCTGGGTACGGTGCGAACCATCCATTTATTCAATCATGGGCCATGCAGGTAAGGTAGCTAAAGGCTGGTTGGGTGCGGCGCGGTGCGATTCAGTCAGGGCTAGGATGACACTCACTCACTGCTGGTGCAGCTCGCTGGGCGCAATCACGTCGTCAATCTTTAAAATCATCTTGACAACCTGTGAGTACCAACATAACACACACAGGCGGACAGAATGATACCCATCCATCCATCCATCCGTTGATTGATCATGTGTGTGTGGGGGCACCTTACTTACCTGAGTGGCGAGCTGCAGCTGGTGTTTCTTGGACACGAGTGCCTCGTAGATGCTCTCATCCACCATGTCCACAGCCAAGTCGTCCTCACACTTGACCACACCCTGCACCGCACGGCACGTCCCACACAGACACAGATCATCATCCACCACATCATTCCGTTCATCTGGGTGTGTGTCTGTGTGCGGTGTTATGGACGGACGGCCATGCACACCGCACCCGCCCACACACACACCATGCAGTTGATTCCCAGGTTTGGGTTGTTGCTCTTGAGCTGACGCGCCTTCACCGCAGCAACAGTCGATATCGGGCTGACATGAATGACAATTGGATGGGCACATCATCACACATACACACACACACACACACACGCAGATGAGAGAGAGACAAGACAGACTGCCGTAGACTGACTGCGTTTGGGGTGCTGTGCGGCGTGCAGTGCAGTGCACATACCTGAGTCCCGAGTTCTCGGCCAGTGCTTCGGGCAGTGCCAGCAGCGCATCCGCAAATGCACGCACAGCATAGTGCTCCACCGAACGAACCTGACACGCACAGAGGGAGAGGAGAGGCGGGGTACGCGTCTCAGCACAGGGTGTGCTCTTAGTGAGTGCGACACTCACTTGGTCAGCGGCCTCTTCTACGGCAGCAGCGCCAGCGACCTCAGCGGCACCACCGCCAGCGACGATGCGGTCGTCGCGAATCAGATTCCTTCACATACACAGCACACACACATGGATGGATGGATGGATGGACCTTGTCTGTCTGTGTGTGTGTGCGTGTCCTTGATTCATCTCACCTGACACAGCAGAGGGCATCGTGGATGCATCGCTCGGCCTCCTTGACCACCATGACGTTTCCGCCACGCACGAGGATCGTCACGGCCTTGGAATTGGCGCAATCTACACAACACAACACAGAGACAGAGAAATGCGGATCGACATACACTTGATTCGCATCATACCTACCTTCGATGACGAGCATGACGTCCTTCTCAGTGCCGAAGGAGACCTCCCGGATGCACCCAGCGCGGCCCAGCTTGTCGGGCGACAACTCGGAGAAACGCGGCACGATGCGGCCACCTGCTCAAGAAACGCAGACAGACAAACCGACATACACGGGATAGATAGATCCACACACGTGATATCTTATGTATATGTGTGTGTGTGTGTACCAGTAGCGATGGCGATGAGTTCCAGCTCCACACCTCCTACCCAACGCACGGCAGGCAAACCTGCACACACAGAGAGAGAGAGAGAGAGAGATGTGTGTGTGGCGATCCCGAGCCCACCTGTCTGTCCACTCCACTTTCCCTTGCTCACCTCGCTGCATGAGCAGGTGGTTGGCCTCGTCATCGAAACCCCACTGGCAGATCACCTGCACACAAGGGGGAGGGAGATCGTCCAGATCGTCTATGCCTCTCGCCCCGCCTGTCTGTCGTCTGTATGCGGCAGCTTACGAAGTTGGCCCCGCACTTCTGCACGGAATCGACCATATCGACGAAGTACTGCTGCTCGGCCGCCTACACACAAGACACACCCAACACAGGCACAGGAACACAATGTGGGTGTGAGAGTGAGGATTGCGTTGCGACACTATTTGTTCTGCTCACTTGCAGTTTCTTGTAGTCCTCTGCAGTCTTGATGTCTAGTTTGTGTTTGGTTTTGGGTTTGGGCGGCTCGAAGGGGCAGGTGAGTATGCAGAGCTTGGCGTCCCTGGTCACCTTGGGCATCTGGGAGTGGCTGATGTCCTTGTCCACTACTATACCTGCACACACCACACACATCCATGAGTGTCTATCTAAGATGCGTCGTGTGTGTGCGCCACCGTTGATGAGGCACGTGTCTTCGAGCTTGCCGCCGGCTTTGCCCTCCACCTATCCGATAGGATAGCACACACACGCGTGTGCACACACACACACACGAATGACACACGGACACTTCCACGTGTGAGTGAGATACCTTGATGAGGTCGAAGTTGACGTCTCGCCTCTCCAGATCGGCAACCGACAAGACGGCCTTCACAGCAACCTCTGACCCGTAGACACACACCAGAAGACCACCACACTCATCCCATGCGTGGCATCATCCCCTCCCGGCTTGTCTGTTCGATTGCCGATTGTCCGTACCGGCGAGCTGTTTCTGTCTGCTGCTGACCACCTTGCTGCCCAACGCCGTCACGGCCGCCCGCACACTGATGGCACACATTACATGGATCCATCCGATCCAGACAGCACATAGCCAGCCGTGCGTCTGTATGTGCTGTGTGGGTGGGGTGGGTGAGGTGAGTGTGTTGTGTGTGGCTTACAGTGCCTCGTTGTCGTTGGCGTGTATGTCGCGTTTGATGGCGATGTCCTCCAGCCGCTGCGTCGCCACCTGACAGGCATGCTCGAAGCCGTCCGCCACACGGAGAGGGTGCAAACCCTGTCAGGTCAGCCACACACCACATCCCACAGACAGACATAAACACACATTCGTTCGTTCATGTGTGAGTGAGTGTATTCTCTCCGTGTGGCGTGATGGTGTCTGTCTGTCAAGTACCTACCTTGTCGAGCAGCCTGCTGGCCTGGTCGAGCATGGCTCCGGCGAGTATGACCACTCCCGTGGTGCCGTCGCCCACCTCCGCATCCTGACTCTTGGACAACTCAACCAACAGCTTGGCCGTCTGGTGCTCAACCTACACAAACAACACATGCCCACACACACATACACACGCACACACGCCTGTGTGTGCCCTTGACACGCACGCACGCACAGATGGATGTGATGTAGCCGGCCGGCCGCTCAGGTGACTGACTGACCTGCATGCGTTCGAGTATGGTTGCGCCGTCGTTGGTGATGACGACATCTCCGTCAGGGCTGACGATGATCTTGTCCATCCCCTTGGGACCCAGCGACGTCCGCAGCGTGTCGGCCACCGTCCTGGCTGCCAAGATGTTGGCCTTGTGCGCCTCGAGACCTGCAGACAGATGGATGCTCTTATGAAGGCAGATAGATGCGCACATGTGTCTGCAAGTGCATGTGAGCGTCTGTGAGTGTGCGATGTCACCTACCTTTAAGTCTCTTCTTTTGTTCCTGCTCCTTGAGTATGATGAAGGGGTTGCCGAACTCGTCCACAGCCACGTTCATCGCGGTAGGACCGACCTGGCTGGCACTGACTGGTGCGGGAGGGAGAGTTGCTGACTGGTGCGGCAGCGGCAGATATATGAATGGATCTGCTGATCAGATCTCTCTCGGATCTATGCAGGCGGGGGCTCAGGAGGCGCACAAATGTGAGCTCGCACTCGACCCTTCTCAGGAGAAAGAGAAACAATGGATTCTGACGACGACGGCCTATGTATAGACCCGCCAAGCACCGATACCACCCATCACATCGACACCAACACGACAGCAGCCTCCCACAGTCTCAGAGACCTCCAGGACGCAGACCTCTCATCCAGAGCCACGTCACGCGTCTTCTCCAGCCACGCCACAGCCACACACGTCACGGGCGAGGACACCCACGGCAAGGGGGCGGCTGAGAGCGAGAGCCCTTCGCTGAAGCTCGAGCAGCGGCTGACGCGTCATGTGGGCCGCGAGTGGTCTGGTGTGACCTTTGAGGAGGCCAGGGAGAGGCTGAGTTCCTTTGCACATGAGAGGGACTGGAACCAGTATGGATGGAACACCTCAGCTGAGAAGGGCAGGCAGTCAGTGTGAATGGTTTCCCTGCTGTGTTTCCCCCTCTTTGTCTGTGTCCTTTCTGTGCGTGCAGGTATCATTCCCCCCGCAATTTGGTGCTTGCCTTAGTCGGCGAAGTAGGCGAGCTGGCAGGTACAGTACGTGTGTTGGTGGATGGGATGGGTGAACACACATGGCCATACATGGATGGCCATGCACACTCTTCTGTCTGTCTGCTTTCAGAGCTCTTTCAGTGGCGCACCGAAGGCGAAGCCGCCCCAGGTACTTACAGGCACACACACATACACTGCACACACCATCTGATCAATGTGATATGAGCCCCCGCACGTGGCGTGGCGTGTTTGTGTGGAGCAGGTTTGCCTGGTTTTGCGGCTGACAAGCGGCAGATGGTGCGGGAAGAGCTCGCCGACGTGGCTGCCTACCTCATCAGGCTGGCCGACAGGTAGGTAACTCATTCACGCAAAGACGCGAGGAAGCCTTGCGTGGAAGCCTGTATGCGTGTGTCATGCAGGTGCGGCATCGATCTGGGAGAGGCGCTCTTCGAGAAAATCGCCAAGAATGAAAAGAAATACCCAGCAGCACGCGTCAAAGGTGACATCGCATCGCACCCACTACACTGCCGGGACACCACTTCACCCCGCGCCCGTGGATCTGACGCCCCAGTGTGTGTCCATGTGCATCTGTGCCTGCAGGTTCCAACAAGAAGTACACCGACTACCGAGAGTATTGGGCAGAGATCGAGCAATACCACATGATGCGTGACACCAGGGGCGGCCCAGCGGGCCCAGCCAGCCCCGAGTCAGCCATGGATAGTGCCGCCGCCCCGTCACCGTCCGCAAGATCGCCCATGCCCTTCCCCCACCTTCGCGCCAGGCACCCCCATGCCGACAAAGGTGGGGGCGGGGCCATGACGCCTTCATTGAGTCCCAAGTGTGGCGGCGGGGGAGATAGCGACAGGCGAGAGAATGGGCCGTTGTGCGATGACAAGGGCAATGCGGAAAGGGTCGGGATGCAGCTGCCAGAGCTGAAAATCAAGGTGAGACGAGGGCAATAGATAGGCACACGAACACTCTTGAGGGGCGGTTAGTCATCGTGTGTTCATTCGCATGTGATGTGCGTGTGTGCACTGCAGGAGAGTCTGATGTGTGCGTTATTCATAGTAGCATGCGTGCTGCCGGTTCTTATACTGGCCGTCACACTTGCCACCATACACAGGCAGGGCAGCGGATAGATAGAGATCTCACATGTATGTACGTACAGGAGGTAGGTAGACAGCTTGTAGATACATAGATGACATGACGGACGGCACAGACAGCCGGGCGCCTCAGCTACTGGTTTGGACTGGATGGAGGAGGCCGTGTAGCTGCTCTCTCGGTGAATGGGGACAGAGTCTGCCCAGTGCATGAAGAGTGTCTGCCTGCGTTGCTTCACCGCTAGTAGGGCTGCACGATAGACACTCACAACGGTGCCAAGTCAAATGCTACAGACCACAGCACACAAGGTGTCGTATCCTGCCTTGTCCGCCATCCCTTCGGTACCATCACCACCGCGAGCTTGAGGCCGTCTCAACTCGGTTCCCTCCGTCTTTTCTCTCTTGCCTGAGACATTCAGCAGTGCTGCACCTATCGTCGGCAGCCTCTACTAGCTTGAGTTCCCACTTCACTGTGTAAACTGCATCGACGAGGGTCAAAGGCCCCATGGTGGGGCTGGGGTGTCTCTGGCTGAGCCTCTTGTCTGCGACTCTAGCCGCCAACGTGCGGGGGGGCCGCTCACCACACCGGTACCGGTCGCCGGCGCCCTTTCTTGGAAACAGTCCCGAGACACACCAGTCACTACAGGAGATGAAGCCGTCTGCATGGAAGAGAATGCGGAGAAAGGCAAGGCGCACAAAGAGCCGACACTTTCGAGCAGGTGAGGGCATGCCACTGCGGGGCTGGCCAGATGTCTGTCCCTTCGTTGTCATGCGATCCATCTTCAGGCCATCTGAGCGCTCATGGTCAGGAAAACGGCACTGACAGCGGCGCCGGTGAGCCTGCGACAATTACTGAGGAGATATCGGGCCTGGGCGGCAAGTTTGGCACCATCTACGAGACGGGCCACTGGGGCAAGAATGCGGAGGGCGAGGGCACCTCGGGCGGCGGCTCTCTCCCCGAGCAGACAGTCGGCTATCGCGCGTTCCTCATTCAGTTTATCAAGGACCACCAGATCACCTCAGTGGTCGACGCCGCGTGTGGCGACTGGCTCTTCTCGCGGCTCATCCCATGGGCTGACCTGCACGTCGACTATACGGGCATCGATGTGGTGAAGGACGTTGTCAGGAAAAACCAGCAGAGATACGGCTCGGACAGCATTCGGTTTCATGTGGGCAGCCTGACGGAGCCCCTTCCATCTGCCGACCTGCTCATTGCCAAGGACGTCTTGCAGCACTTGTCGAACCGACTCGTGCACAAGTTCATCCGTACCAACCTGTTTCCAGAGAGAGTCAGAGGCGGCCAGGCCCCCGGGTACAAGTATGCGTTGATCACCGACGACCACTGCACATCTCACACATCCGAGTGCCACGAGAATGCCGACATCGAGAATGGGCACTGGCGGCCTTTCTCACTGCAGTCTGAGCCCTTCACCGTCAAAAGCGCCCGCACAGGTAGGCTTCCCGCCCGGCTGTCTAGATGCGACATTCATTTTGCCTGCGTGCGTGCGTGTGTCCCTCCAGTGTTTTTGTTTGATGTCTATGTGCCCGACCTGGTGAAGGCCACCGACCTTGTGGACTTCACCCAGCCCCCTGCCAAGGACAGCGGCAGTCGAGGCGAGACATATGTCGGGGTCATGCAGTAGGAATTCTCCAGCCTTTGGATTTATCGGGTAGTTTGAGAGGTGTGTCTTTATAATGAAGTCTCATTGAGACACAGCTGGCCCCCTTTATGCTGCCCTCTGCGTGTTGACCAATGAAGTTGTGTCTTCATACGACGTCAAGAGAAATTCTCTTGCTCAGAAATAGACCTTCTGTTCGTGTCTCACCCGTGAAAGAAAGACAACATGATATAAAATGTAGACAGCAATCCCTCAGCCTGCAAGCCACCATGACAAGATGAGACACACAGCCTATGGTCGGCGACCTCTTGGTTTCATTCTCGAGCTTCTCTTACCTCTTGTCCGTTCACCGCTGCAGCATCCACACGTTCACACGCACGACAAGTCGCCAGATGATCTGGCCTCAATCATATCGTCAACAGCCCGCCGCCCACTACCACCGCCACCACCACACACCACTACTACCACCCCTCGGCGGCCACCTCACTCAGTCACTCGCACTCGAGGCAGTGTTCTTGCGGCTGAACGAATAGCCGTGGAACATCTTCTCCAGCTCGTCTGTGGGCTCGTAGGGCGGGTAGTCCACTCCCCACTGCTCCTTGATGGCCTTGAGGATGGCCTCCTGCCGCCACGGCTGGGAGCAGGCCTCGTGGGTGAGGAACCAGTTGTATATGATCTCTTTCTTGAGCCCCTCCCAAGCCTTCGGCGTCATGGCCCACTTGATGGCCGCCTGCCCCACCATCTCCTTGTCGCCCGTGAGGACCATGTGCGACGTCACCACAGTGCTGCTGCCCTTCTGCTAGCCGTCGAAGGGAGGCAGCACGTGTCACGTGTGGGCGGGGGCAGGGGGAAGTGGGCGTAGGGCAGCACGTAGAGCTCGTACTTCTTCGTCAAGTGTCTGGCGAAGGCGTTGAAGTCGATCTTGATGGGATCGCCGTCCTTGTCCAGCATCGGCTGCTCCTCCTTGGCCTCCTCCTTGGCCTTGCCCTCCTCCTCTCCGCTGTCGGTGTTGGTCGCCGCTCCACACGCCCCACTTCAAAACACAAACATATAATGCTCCACTCTGTAGTTTGTTCGTGTCTCCGTGATTCTCTTCATGTCTCACCCGTGTGCGCTGCATCCTATGCGAAACAAGACAGCCATGATATAAAATGTAGGCAGCAATCCCTCAGCCTGCAAGCCACCATGACAAGATGCGACACACAGCCATATGGCCAGCAACCTCTTGGTTTTCTTCTCGAGCTCTTGTCCGTTCACAGCCGTCCAGGCACTTCACCCACCCGCTCACTCACTCACAGGGCCTTGTTCTTGCGACTAAACGAATGGCCAAAGAACATCTTCTCCACCTCGTCTGTGGGCTGGTAGGGTGGGAACTCGACGCCCCACACCTCCTTGATGCCCTTGTGGATGGCCTCCTGCCGCCACTTGAAGGAGCAGGCCCTGTGGGTGAGGAACCAGTTGTAGACGATCTATTTCTGCAGCTTCTGCCACGCCCTCTCCGTCTTGGCCGACTTGATGGCCACGCTGCCCACCCTCTCCGTGGCGGGCACCTCGCGTATGGGGGCAGGACGCGCCACGTGTGGGCGGGGGGGGAGGGGCGGCTTGATGGGCCGTTCTGACATATGCCAGTCTGAACCCAACAGATCATCACACACCACGGAGCAACAATTGACAGACATCATCCCCAGCGTGTGCTGACTGTTCGGCGCTGACCGTGCGAATGTCGTCGTGATCCAGTTTTTGTCCTTCCACGCCGCCTTGGCATCCTCCAGCGTCTGATGCGCACCAGTCGACCGTTCCATGCAGTCGCATCCCATCTTCCTTTCTGTCCCTCTCTCTCTCGCTGACCTTGTGTTCTTTGTGGTTCTGAGGCCCGAGCTCCACGCCCTTGCACTTGTACTTCTCAGCGATGTCCGCCTCTATCAACTCACGCACCTACTCCCCAGCACAGCAGAGAACAGCACCACTGATGCAGCTTTTCCCTCCTTTAGATTCTGTATGTGTACCACACCTGCAGCTCCTCCACGACAGGGCAGTCTCTGCCGAGAGTGCCACTCACCCCGATGGGCACGAGCTTCAGCGAGAAGTGCCTCACACACCGGTATCAGAATCTTCCCGATGTCCTACATCACACGCACACACACACACCCACACACACAGAGACAGACACACATATCGGTGGTGATGTTGGCGGCGGCCTCGTCCGAGTCGCTGGCGCCCCCGATGGCATCCTCGAGTGGCGACCCAGCAGGCGAAGGCCCGCCCGCCTCGATGGCTCCCTCGGCCGTCTTGCCCTCCTCCTCCGTCTCGGCCGCCGACTCAGTGCTCACGCCGCCTCCCTCCTCACCCTCCTGGTGGTCGGCCGTGGTGGCCTGCTCGGCCGTGGTGTCCTGGGCGGCGGGTGCGACGATGGTGGTGTGCTGAGGGGCTGTGGGAGGCGGGTCGGTGATGGCCCAGTCACCGTCTGTGGCCTCCTCGCCGAGCATGCAGCACCCTCCCTCCTCCTAGACGCCACTGAAGGGCGCCTGCCGCAGCAGTCCACCATCCGAGGCGAATTCCTGCGTACGAAACACACAGCCCTTTCTTTCGTTCACACAATCCGACCCGTGGCTCTTCTGATCGCTGACGGTCCTGACTCGACATGAACGTGAACACGTGTGGAGTCGACTTACAGGCCTGGCGCTTCTGCTGCTTCTTTGCCGCCCTGCGGGCCCTAGTGCCGCCGAAGTCGACGAAGCCCAGCTCCTCGTGCAGTGGCGTGACGGCCATCTCGCAGCTGGCGGCGTCCTGCCGAAGGGCCTCGGGGTCGTCTGATGGGCCCTTGCGGCAGGGAATCGGACCAGCTAGGGGCGGTCTCCAGGTCGCGGCGGAACAAGAACATGCCGCTGGCGATACTTATCAAAGACACCGGGCGTCCAGGGGACAGCTGCGACGCCTAAACAGTGCCGACGGGTGTTGCTGCTGTTGGTTGCTGCTGCTGCTGCTGCTGGGAGCTGCTGGAGCTGCTGCTGCTCTTATGCGCTGCGTGGCGGTGTGTTCTCAGGGATTTTGAAAAAAGACGAGACGCGTTAGGGTTTGTGGGTTTGTCTCTCAAATTCTCGCCCGGCGTGATGAGTATTTTTGGTGGGAAGAGTGGCTGCAGCCATGCACATTCATTTATTTATAAACACACACACACATGTAGGCACACGTCAGTGTCTGTATGTCTGACCGATTAATTGATTGACAAGTCCGCTGACTGAATTACCTCCCCCTCCCAATCCGCCCCTAGCACACGAACGGACACATACACACACATACAAGGGTTGTCAGAAATTTCGACACAGAGTAGACGGGAGGCAGAGAATGGGACAGAGGGAGGGACGCTTGACCAAAAAGGGCGCGGGAAACTTATGTACACACAGAGGCAGGACGAGAAACACAACAGATAGGGACGTAGGTGTTGGCAAAACCTCCAGGCAGGCAGGCAGGCAGAAAATGAGAGCGATGGGCCTGGTCCTCCCCATAGCCCAGCCCACAGCCAGACTGTCACAGCCATAAATAGAGGGGTTCACATGATCGAACGACCGCAGAGCCCCACACGCACGACTCACACGACACACATCATGACACATCCATGTATCTCTCCCTTCTTGATGTCAGAAGGCACATAAATACCAGCGCACTCACGCATGAGACACCCATCAGACAGACACAGTGGGGGCGAACGAGGGCAAGATGATGAATCATATCCGATTATCGACAAGTGCCGGCAGCTGAGCCAGAGCCGGCAGCGATGCATCCAGCCAGCAGTCAGTCAGGTGTTACGATGGTGCCATTCGTGGACGGACAGATACTGACATGCATGGCATGCATCGGGCAAACGGCAGTGAGGGGACGGATAAGGAGTAAGGAGCAAGCACCACACGAAGGGGCAAAAAGCGTGGGTGTGCCGACCGCTCCCTCTGTCCCTCTCTATCTCTCTTCCCCAGGGTCACTGCATTTTCTCAGCCAGCGAATTCACCCCCACATTTGCACACAGACACAGAGCCACACGCAGATACAATAGACACAGCGAGACACACTTCCCTCAGATGAATGAATGCATGCAATGCATCGCACGTTCTCCCACTATATATGTAGCAGTGCGGGGACATGCATCACATCCCATCGGTCACCCCGTCCATCACACGAGCGCTGCTCAACCACCCATCCCACGGCCAGACACATCCATGCACACATACACACGCAGACACGCCGACAGCCAGCAAAACCTCAATCCACAGACAGACAGACAGACAGACGGACATGCATGCACACACACGGCCCTTGTGCACACATGCATACGTTGGCCTGGCCGCCTCCCTGCCCACATAGAGGTTGCTATCGACAAGGGACATACACACATGGGGAGGGAGGGTAGGTACATCATGGGTCGAGAGAGCGTGAGAGACCTACAGACAGACAGACAGACAGACAAGCAGAAGGGCTAGACATGTCGAACTTCTCTCTCTGCCTCCCTCCCATAAGGTCATCCCCAACACACAAGACAGGCAAGGACATAGACATGACATAGAGGGTGGGTCCGTGTGCGATTATTCATTGTTGGCAAACACAGCTAAGCTAGGGAGAGCAGGGATGGAAGATGAGACGCTCTCAACCTAGCTTTGCTAGCTGCCATGAATATACGTCGGTCCGTATATATGTCCAATCGACACGTACATACAAGAAGCACAGCGAAGCACAGACATGACATTCGACACACGAACCCACCCTACCCCGGCCGCTCAAGGACTCTCTCTCTCTCTCTCTCGCTGCCTGCCTGCCTTCGATAACCCATGCCTTCGACACAGCGACACCGTTCGGCCCACCGCGAATACATGCAATTGTACATACATGTATGCAAGTAGGGCGTTACTGCGATGGATCGAACGTGCGTACACACACACACATACATACATACACACACACCACGCGCCCACAACATGGATGCCATCCCCGGCTCACTCATCTGATCAGATCTGATACAAAACCCCATCATCTCTCTTGCCTTGTCTGTCGCGACAAACAAAAAGCGGCCGAAAATTGTCACCGAGCTTCCTGTCCTGCCACCCAGCAGCTGATAAATGGATACGATAGACCACACACCGCACACCACACGCGCACATGAGAGCGACAGGCAAGCAAGCAAAGGAGAAACGCATCAGCGGCCGACCAGGCAGAGAAAACCCCTGCCTGATGCGTTTAAAACGGGGGCTGGCTGGTCGGCCGGCCGGGTGTGTGTGTTTGTGTCTCTCTGTCTCTGTCTATTGGTGCCTCTGTCGGAGGGCTCTCTTGGTGTGGTCGTGTGTATTGGGTGGGTCCCGCTCGATGGGTGAGGCGGGGTAGATGAGCTGCACGGACTCGGCCTGCATGAGGGCCTGCAGCTGCGAGTGCGGCACGATCGCACTGCACAACCGGTCCATGCAAATGATTTCAGACCTGACAACCACACCACACCACACAAGCCACACGCATCAATCATACCCACATCTCTCTCTCTCCCCTTTCCCCCTCCCTCGTTTGCCCACCCGCCCATTTTCTTCAGGTCGGCTTGGAGGGTCTGGACGTCATCTCTTGCGACCGCGTCCACGAGTATGCCTCTGCTCCACATGGACTTGGCCACCAGCTCCTCCTTCGCATCAGCATCGCCCGTGTCGTGTGTGGTGCCGTGCTTGAGGGTGCCCTCGCGAGCTGCCCACGACAGGGTGTGCATGTGCGGGTGAGCTTTCGTCGCCTCGGATGGACGGCGGCGCAGATGACGGTCGCGTGGACACCTGATCCGCACACATGCACACACCCATGATTGTGTTGCACTCGGTGTGTCGGTGTGACCGTATGTGTGTGAGTGCTCACCATAGTGTCGTGCATGGCCGGCTGCTGTCCTGCATCTTCTCAGCCTTGGGAACGGGCTCTTCCTCCTCCAGGAAGAGCTCATTCTGGTTGCCGTCGTTGTCATACACGTGCAGCGCTCTGTTGTTGGCCGACGACGGCTGATGCCACTCAGGCTGACCCAGCTGTGTGGCCAGCTCGTGCACCGTGTGCTTGGTCGATACGAGCGAGCCTCGGTCGCTGAGGTCCGAGAGTCTCGGGTCGACCTTGGTGGCCGCGGCCTTCTTCAGGAGCTGGCGAACGGCGCCCTTCTTGCTCTTGCGAGTCGTGGGGGTGCTCCCGTCCTTCGCCGAGCGGTCCTTGTGCGGGTGGCCGTCGTGTGGGTATGGAACGATGCTGGGCGGCGATCCGAGAATGTGGGTGGTCTTCTCGCCATCGTGGTCGCCGTATCCGCCCTCGTGGCCGTTGAGTGCGGCCATTGCGCGAGGGGGGTACTCGAGGGTCGTCTTCTCGTCGTCAAGGCTGGTGTAGGGGTAGGCGTTGGTCTCAGCACTCTCAGCACTCTCCTGAATCACGGGAAGGCTGAGCTCGTGGGTGGTCTTCTCGCCATCATGGTCAGCATAGCCGCCCTCGTGGCCGCCCACGGCAGCCATGGCACGCGCCTCGCTGGCGACAGTCTCTGGAAATCAGACATCGGAAGTGCACGATCGGCCCTCGAGTCCATCCAGCCCCTTGCTTACCCTCTTGGTAAGTTTTGTCGCCCGTTTCCACAGTAGTGTCGCTGTCGGTTTCCACTTGATCGAGAGTCTCTGGAATCAGACACAGACACATGAGTGAGTCTCTCGCTGCACCCACTCTTGCTGTGTCGTGTCGCTTACCCTCTTGGTGAATATCGCTGTCACTTTCCACAGTATCGTTACCAGCAGTTTCCACTTCATCAGGGGCCTCACTGTCGAGAGACTCTGAAATGCAGAAATGCACAGACAAAATGGACTACTGAGCCACTCTCCCCCCTTTCACACCTACGTACCCTCTTCGTGTGTCTCGTCTTCGGTTGCCACCTGATCCATTCGCTCAAACGCCTCGAGGGTGTGAGTGGTCTTCTCACCATCGCTCTCGGCATAGCCGCCCTCCTGGCCGTTGAGGGCAGCCAGGCCGCGCGAGTCGTTCAGTGTGGTCTTCTCGGTGTCGCCGCTGCTCGACGAGTAGGGGTAGGCCTTCGGCTGGTCATGGCCGATCTGGCCGACGCTGAGCTCGTGTGTGGTCTTCTCGCCATCGTGGTCGGCGTAGCCGCCTTCGTGGCCATCCACGGCAGCGAGGCCCTGGGCGGCGGGCAGATCTGCAGACGGTCAGCACACACACGCAAGACGGAAGGCATGGTACAAACAAGCGGTCTTCGTGGCCTGTGCATCAACGTACCGTCTTTAGAGGGCCGGCTGTGTGCAGGGTGGCCCTGGGAGAGGGCAGTAGAGCAGAGCAGTAGGAGCAGGGGAAAGGCTAGCGCACTCATCTTGTCAGTCGTCGTTTCTAATCGGGAGGGATGTACGGGAAAAGCAGTAGCGTCGGAATGGTGTCGGGAATCGCAAGCACGATGATCCTTTGTCCGTAGAGTTGTGCGTGGGAAATTGGAAATCTGGGACAGCCGTTGAAATCAACGGAAACGCTAGCTCGCAGGGGCGTGGCCTACGAAAATGAGGCCAGCCGGTCTGGCCGTGGTGTCTGAGGGGAAGTACCTTGACTTTCCTGAGGAAGTGACCCAGGGTAAAAAGTGCTGACTTAGTTGCGACAGACAGACAGACAGAAGAGGAGACGGCTGGGTGTGTGTGTCGACTCATTTCACTGCAGGCTCACTTAGGGGTTTTCAGGTGCTCTTCAATGTCCTGTTCGTGCTACTACTCGGGTTCCTGCCCTCCGTCACTTATGTCATTGCTGGCTGCCTCCTTGCCGTCACGATTGTGGGACGAGTGGTTAGTTGCACGCACCCATAGATTGTCCCGCGGCTCTGCTCCTGTGACACACCATACGGGGGAGTCTGGGGGCTGGTGGGGGGTGTTCATAGACTTTGTGTCTCGTGCGGTGTCTCACAGTATGCACTCAGATTGTTCAAGATGGCCGCACTGTCCATCCTGCCATTCGGTCAGTCAGTGCATGTGTGTGACAAACGCGTGTCTCCTTTGTTTGTTTGCAGACCATCCATGCATGGTCTTCTGTCTGTTTGTGAGTGCGTGCGTGCAGGGTATCGCATTGTGTGGCGTGACGAGGACCCGGCCGGTCTGGCCCTTAGCAAAGTGTGGAAGCTGACATGGAAATATACCTTTGGGATTATTATCAGTGTGGAGCATGCCGTAAGACAGAGAATGGACACGTACCCTGGCACACAGCACACAGCACTGCTGGTGTCGACTCGTGTGTCAGCTGTGTGGGCTGGTGTGGCTTCTGCTGTGCTTCACGCCCTTTGTCGTCACACATATCAAGGTATACATGTCATGTGCGCACAACCGCGTGTGTGTCTCATTCCCTTTTGATGCATCGTTCAGCTGCTGTCTCTCGCGATTGGGCCTTTTGACTTTGAAATCCTCCCCAGCCATGTGTCGACAGGCATCAGACAAAGCGTGGTAGGTACGACAGTGCAAAGTGGACATGCCCTGGCCATGTGTGGGTCTGTGTATGTGTATGTGTGTGTGTGTGTGTGTGTGTGCAGGAAGGTGTGTCTAGCTATGGTGCGTCTGCGAGACAGAGCTCACCATCTTCCTCGGCAGCAGCAGCAGCCGCGAGACAGGAAGTGTGACGAATGTCTTCCTGTGGTCTGTGTGTGGATGTGTAAGTAAGGCCTTCAGCGATTTGTGACCTCTGGATATCCGTCAGTGTCATTCATTGAGTGCACCAGAACGCCAGGCGCGCTCAGAAGTACTCAAGTCTATCAAGCTTCAGATATTTCGTCTCCCCTCCGGCCACTCCCTTGCCCGCCACCTCCACAACCATCTGCACAGCTCACAAGCCGCATAGACAGCAGCGTGCAGCATTCATCCACGTGGCTCGTTGACCCACCTCTTTGTGCATAGCAGTAGCCACTCGATGAGTCCTTAGCAGCGACACTGACGAGACCAAGCTGCTGTGCGGCACCCTCTGGATGAGAACAAAGCCATGGTACTTCAGTGGATCACCTGAGGGAAGGGCGACACACCACACCACACAATGAAATGTGAAAAGCCGGGCGGCTCCCCACGTCTGTGTACCTGTGTACATCACAGAGGTCCCCCCGAACTTGAGACCCGCCATCGAGAAGCGCACGGAAGAGCACACTGCATCCTCGTCTTGCCGCTTTCTCTTGCCCAGCGCTCTGGCAGGACCCTCATCGACACTGATCTCACCCGACTCGCCGCGCCGTCCTCTGGACGAGCGGCTCCCTCGCTGCATGTGCCTGATGGCCGTGGTCTGCTCGTCCGAGTAAAGGAAAGGGGCACCGAGCTGCTTGTTCTGTTGACACGCAATGGGGAGTGTCCCGATCTCTGCAGCAACCAAGCCACATTGCTGTCGCAAATCACGGGCCGCCTGCCACTCCCACACGAGCGACGGTGGCCGCTCCTTGCTATCTCGCTCTCTGCCGTCCCTCCTGCAGAACACGCAGACAAACAGACATGTGTGGCGATTCGTTCATTCATGGCCATCGGTTGCTCTCGTGCTTTCTGACTCGTTGTCATGGTCATTGTCATCCGCGGCCTCCAGGACGGCCGCCTCGACGCCCTCGATGAATGCATGGCTCTCGTCATCGACCTCATCGAGATGCTGCCTGTTAGTGTCGTCGGTGTCCATCACGGGCTGCTGAAGGGGAGCTCCGTCAGGCGTGATCTGTCATTTTGGGCTGGGGCTGATCTCCAGCGGTGCCCTGCGCTGATCTCGCACTGCGAGCTTAATACTTTGTCAGCGGCAACGCCCCAAGAAAGCAGTCCATCTGCAAGGGATCGATGAGCACGACAAGACTCAAGCGAGGATCTTCCAAGCGCTGCAGCAGGAGCCGAGATAATGTCTGCTGACTCGAAGAAACCGTGCGCAACGGAGCTGCGGGTGGCTGTTGTGATCAAGGGCGACAGCAGCATCCCGCAGGCGGCTGTATGCAATGCTCTGAAGAAGGCGCTGGGCCTCAGCGGCTCATCAAAGGGAGAATCGTCGAGCCCCTCGGCGTCGGAAGCAGCACTGTCCTGCAATGCGGCGACGGCTCAAGCTCAAGCGGGGAAGCTGCGCTGCTCGGCCACCGAAACCACTCTCAAGAACGGCCGTCTGTCGCTCATCGTGACTGTCGAGGGAGATCCGCAGTACGTCGATGACGACAAGATCCCCATCAGGACGCCAGCCACTCTTCGGTTGTGGAACTCGCTGATGTCCGTGCCTGTCCAGTATGACGCCTCGCTCCAAGCACTGGCCGATCACTTCAACAACGGCGCTGCTATTGTGTTGCACGACTTTCTGGGTGTGTGTCAGTCGATTGGCGTCATCGAGACGGCCACGCCGCTGCACGGCAGTGTGAGGGATAGGATGCGGCACTTCTGGCGGTTCCTCTCGCCGCTGGCGTGGTTCTCTCTGGAGGAGGAGCTGCCTGCCGTGTTGTCGTACTTTGGTCCGCGCGTCGCGTTCTACTTTGCTTGGATGGACCACTATTTGACGTGGCTTGTGGGGCCTGCAGTACTCGGTAAGGAAAAACGGATGAAAACACAGGAAAGGTCCCATCTATGTCCTCATTGCGTGTTTGTCTGTCTGTGTTTCAGGATTGGTGCTCTACGTGCTTCGGCCAGCGGATGAAACAGTCGATGACAGCGCGGCTGTTCCGCTCTATTCTCTGTTCCTGGTGCTCTGGAGCTTTACCTACATCAAGTGCTGGCAGCGTCGCGAGACGGAATTGACGTACCTGTGGAGCGACCCCACACCCCACATCCTTCACCCACCCTCTCGCCAGCCCTCTCGCCAACACGTGCAGCCAAAGCATGACAACAGGCCCGTTGTGTGGAAGAAGCTGACTGCTCGATTCCGCCGGCTGTCATTTGTGTCACGAATCTCTTTGAGTGCGCGAGTGGTGTACTTTGCTAAGGCGGGCGTGTCGTGGCTGGTGACTTTAGTGCTGCTGATGGGGGTGGCCATGCTGCAGATCATCTCGCTCAATTTGCAGGGGTACGTGTCTGGCGGGAAGGACGGCACGGCAGAGGGGCTGGAGAGAGGGGGGAGGAACGTCTTCTACTTCCCTGCCGTGGCTCGCTTCTCTAAACCAGGTGGCAACACAGATACGACCACATCGGCATACCCACGCTGCGTGTTTCTTGTCCTTCAGGCGCTGTGTTTGATCCCAGTGGCCCCATGCTAGTGTCGCTCTTCCCAGTCATTGTGCACGTGGCCGTCATCTACCTCATCAACGCGACTTACCGCTGGATAGCGTGGCACCTCACTGTGTGGGAGGGGGGAGGGGTCAGCCTGCATCCATCCACCGATGGCGTGGAGGGTCGCAGCCTCGACGAGACGCTCGATGCCCTGCTGCTGAAGCGGTGAGAAGCGAACTGCACGCATACACAGCTGCCTGCCGTCATTCATGTGTCTGATGTGTGTGTGCAGGTTTGTCTTCGAGTCGATTGATTGCTATTTCCCCCTCATTTACATCGCCTTTTATGAGCTCGACATCCTGCAGCTGCGGCGCGAGCTCCAATCTCTCTACGTGGCCGACTGCATCCGCCGAGTTGTCACGGAATCGCTCATCCCGCTGGTCCTGCACTCGTTGGACGCAGCTTCGCTGAAGCCTGGTGGCTTCATGCGCACCGATTCTTTTGTGTCGAGGCTCCGTGGCAATGGCGACAAGCAGACGGCAGAGCAAGAGGTGGAGAGGAACATGGCATTGGATGAATATGAGGTGACTTAGGGTGGGTAGGGGCTGCCTGCATGTGCTATCATGTCCGGCCATGTCCGCTGTCATGTCATGCACACCTAAAGGCGTTTGACGACTATCTCGAGATCGTCATTCAGTTTGGCTACGTCACCTTGTTCGCAAGTGCATTCCCCCTGGCATCGCTGCTTTCCATCGTGCAGAACCTTATCGAGGTAGGTGAGTGAGGGGCACAGCAAACAGCCCATGGATCAGTCAGCAGCAACATGGCTTGTCTCTCTGCATGAACTCAGATCCGTTCGGACCTCTTCAAGCTGTTTTTTGTGTGCCGTCGGCCCATTCCCCACGGCGACGCACTTCCCCTGCACCCCACCAACCCATCGCAGCCATCTCTCTACGGCATCGGCAGATGGCGGGCCGTGCTCAACACCCTCGTGTGGCTCGCCGTCCCCTGCAACTGCTTCCTGTTCGCCTTCTCGTCCGAGCAGCTCATGCAGTACTTGCCGTCCTACTTCGTCAGACGGGGCGGTAATCAGTGGATCAAGCAAGGAAAGGGCCTGCCCGTGGCCTTCATTGTCTTCGGCCTCGAGCACGCCCTGCTGCTGATTGGTGTGGCGATTCACACCTGTGTGCCCAACTGCTCCGACACCGTCTTGCAGAAGGTGATCGAGGAGAGCGAGTTGGTGTCACAACACCACATGATGATGCACAACAATAATGCGGGGCCGGTCAGTCAGGGCACCGCGGGCCTGCCGGACGAGGTGCTGAGTGGCAGTGCTGGTGCCGATGAGCAGCAGCTGAGGGAGGGAGTTAGACAGCGGAAATGAACGAGAGGAGCAGTAGGTTTGTGAGTGAACAGTCAGATGGGAAATTTTTCGGTGCGGCATGAACATGCATGGTGGCTGACAGTTTTGTCATGGTTGGCGGTTTCACAATGACCACGCGGGCGCGGGAGGGAGGCCAAGTTTACTTTACACCGGGGCGCCGTGAAACCAAAGGCTGGGAGATTGAGTTGAACAGGGATGAAGGTCGTTGTCGCGATTGCCCTTCTCGCCGCCACGGCCCATGCCTTTGTCCCTTCCACTCCCCTGCAGCGGTGAGCACTCAGACACATCAGAAGCACTGACTGACGAAGCGAGCGAGGAAGATGACAGACTCACTCATGCAATCGCTCTGCGAAGACAAGGCTGCGTTGGCACAGCAAGCGAGTCTATGAGTGAGCTGCTGTTCATCGCTGTGACGACGGGTCGTGTTTGTCGTCTTGTTGCAGGATGACCCGCAATGCTGCAGCCAAGCCCAACCTCCAGATGGCGCTGGACGTAAGCACAGCAGTCACACAGACACAGACAGGCGGCAAAGATCACAAGGCGTGAAAAGGGAGATCACTCGTGTGTCCGTGACTCCTTGTTGTAATGGCAGGCGGAGCCTGGTGTCACTCAGCCTGTCGGGTTCTTCGACCCTCTTGGCTTCTCAAAGGATAAGGGGCCGACTGATGAGGTGGGTGGATGCGCCACACGCAGACCATGGCTCGCTGTCCTGTCCTGGACGCTCGCTCGTGTGTGCAGACCTACCAGCGCTACCGCCTTGCTGAGATCAAGCACGGCCGCGTGGCGATGCTCGCCGTGATTGGGTACGCCGTGCCGTACTTCTTCAAATTCGACGGCTGGCTGGCGACCGATCCGGAGCTCAAGTTCGCCGACATCCCCGCGGGTGTTGATGCCCTGAAGGTCATCCCCCCTGCCGGCCTCGCGCAGCTCTTCGCGTTCGTTGGGTTCCTCGACCTGCTCGTCTTCAAGCCAAACGCAGAGGTGCGTGGCGAGGGTAAAGGGAAGGAGGAATGACTCAGTGACGGCAGGCACTGTGGTGTGTGGTGTTACTGATCAGGGCACGTACGTCGGCGACCTCGGCCCGGCTTGGTGGTACAAGGTGAGTAAGGCGAGCCTCGTGACGTGACGCCTGTATGTGTGCCATTCATTCTCTGCGTGTCATCATTGACCAGGGCCCTGAGGACCCCGAGCAGTTCCGCGAGTACCAGAATAAGGAGCTCAACAACGGCAGGCTCGCCATGCTCGGGTACGCGTGTGAACCCAGGTCATTCTGGCTCACGTGAATGTGTTGTGTGCCTGTGTCTGTCTGTTGTCATGTCAGCATTGCTGCGTCCATCGCCCAGGACCTGGTGACCGACAAGCCCTATCCCTTCCTCTCGAAGTGATGGTGACGCAGGGTGGGTGGATGGATGGAAGGCCAGAGGCAAGCACCTTGCCTGCTGTCTACACCGTGCCTGTAGACAGCAGGCACGGTGCTTGCTTCTGGCCAGCTGCATGTTTTGAGAAACGAAGTCGATATGGAAGAAGTATGAGGGAGAAAGGACGGGGAGAGAGGCCTATGCCTTCCGTGCGCACACACAGAGCAGGTGTACGTGCCGTTTCGTGAGATTTTGCACCTGCGCTGAGAGAGAGAGTGAGAGTGAGAGCGTCGTGCAGAGAGCTGTATAGAGCGAGAGAGGAGAGGAGTGGCCATGCCATTTCTTCCATGCATTCCATCCATGTCCTTGGATCTGTCCATTGAGAGAGGAGCCTGCACGCCATATGTAGGTCCGTCCCTTGAACAACAGAGGGAGCGAAAGAGGAAGGAAGTCTAGGGGCCAGGAACCGAGCAACAGAAAGGGGACACAATTCGTCTGTGTGCGTTCGTTAGAACACACCACATCCTACATGCATGAACTTTGGCATGAGACTGACGCAGTCAACAAACTAGAGAAGCGAACGCGGCCGAAAACTCCAAATGCATTCATGGCACAAACGGTGCAACGAAGACCAGACGCCCACACACACACGACACACACGCACACAAAACTGGTCACCTGCCTGTTGGCTTGTCACCCCCTCTTGCTCCTCCTCCCCCTATCGTCATGTCTTTCCCTCACGATGTCCCTCACGACTTCCCGAATCTTGTCGTGCATGAAAGTGTCGCGTGCGCCCGACTGCACGAAAGGGACGCCGGCCCGCACCGCATCGGGCCAACGTGGTGGAGAGCCATTGACAAAAGGGGAGCAGGGCGGGGGCACACAGGAAAAATAGAAGTGTGGGGGGTGGGATGGGGGGATGCGGCTGGGCGCACACATGGAGGTGCGGCATGAGGAGGAGGCAATGTGGCCCACGCGAGAGAGCCTGTTGAGGTCCAGGGAAGCTTCCAGCGTGGCCTCATTGTAGGGGAACACCAGACGATATTGGCCTGAGCGAAGACGACCCTGAAGGCGAAAGCAGGCAGAGAGTCTAGTGAAGACCGTTCTGGCATCCACACAATCGTACCTTTGTCGCTTTTTCTGGATGTCGCGGAGAGGCAGGAGGCGTCAACCGCCCAGCACCAGCCCCCGACAGATCACAATCCGTTCCGTTCCATGCTCTATTCCCTCTCGGCGATTTGGCGCTGGTCGCCCTGTGTATCCTCGGAGACACGGTTGGGCTCTCCTGCCAGCTCGGCGGGCGGACCTCATCTGTGTGTCGTGTCTGTTTGGGTGAAGTGGGGCAGCTGGGGACGGGTGACGATGGGAAGACTAAGGGTGTGCCGCATGTGAGTGTCGTCGTTGCTGTCTTGGTCAGCTGCGCCAGGAGATCAATCGTGTCGGTCAAAAGGGCCTCCTTCACCGCTCGGTCTATAGGGCCGGATGCTGTGAGTGAGGGGGAGCAATTGACCTGAAGGCAAGACAGCACATGAGATCGATGTCCACGCACAAGAGAGCATTGCGCCGCGCCCACCTCAATGAGCCATGCCTTGAGCTTTTCATCGACGAGGATATCAAAACCAAACAGCTCAAAGCAGTTTTCTGAAGCAGCGCTGAAGGAAGAAAGAAAAAGATACATACATACCCCTATAAGCCACGCACTCACTGTCTGCCTGGCGTGTACACCCAGTATCTATTTTGTCACTCGCACGTGGGGATATTGAGAGGCAGCGTCAAGCATGTCAGCCTTATGATCTCAACAACCTGGTTCCATAGAGACTCGGGAGAAATGCCGCGAGACTGCAGACAGACAGGTGAGACACGGTAGGACATCTGTGTCCATAGAAACAAACAGAGAGTGGCGGCCAGTTCGCGACCTGTAGGTATCCTCGCAGCGTACGGAACGACCACTTTCGCTCTGCACCGATGGCTGCCGTGCCACAATGTGTCGAAAAGCTACGGGGGTTCCGATTGTTGATGGAGCTGAGATGGAAACACGGTAATGGAGCCGCTTCGAAAACAGAGAATGCCCTCGGTATGTCTCTCTCTCCTTACTTACGCGTTGGTGAGGTGCACGAATGGGCTGTTGCTGTGTATGTTGTAGGGCTCACTGCTGAACCGCACGACGCCCTCATCGTACAGATACACTTGCAGCGGATGCACACTGGGGACGAAAACGTAGACGCGCAAGTCCCACTGAACGGACGGCAGACAGACACACACACACGGCACCAGATGCCATCCATCCATCCATCCACCATGTCTCTCTAATGGTGCGTTCACCTTATAGGATTCGATGAGCAAAGGTTTGGCGATGTACCGCTGGATGATCGACTGCTGGTCGTATCGAAGATCCGACAAATCCTGTCCGTGCACAGCACATGGCACAAAGAATATATGAGACAGCCAGCAAAACCCACCCTGATATATCACGTTGTGTTGTCTCACCCGAGCAAGTGTGATGTTCCGCCCTCGAGAGCAATCGGCCGGCTTGCAGATGAACACACAAGACCCGTTTCTCTCTCCTCCTCTCGTGTCTTCGTCCTCACTCCCGCACGACGACGCACTCTCGGCTGTTTTCACCCTTGTCCGCGTCTGAGGCCTCTGCAGCACTGGGCGGGCTATTGGGCGTTTCCTCGCTCCTTTTGACAGCGAGACCACGGGCGGCATACTCTCGAGTTTCCTCTTTTGCTGCTCATAGAGTCGCATGATCATCTGGAAATCCCGCGTGCGCCTATCGGGCGGGGGAGAGGGAGAGGGAGATGGCGCCGCGGCATGGTTGGCAGGACCTGAAAGACAGTGAGACATGTTTATGTGTGGGTAAAGAATGCCTTGCGTGATGGTGAGCACGTTGGAGCGCTGTGTGGGCCTTGAGAAATCGCTTGTGCTCTGAGGGCAAGATGAACGATGTGGGGATAAACGAGTAGGCAGACCCATGGATGGCCTGAAACCGGCGGAAACCTCGACGAAGCCAGCCGTCGACAGACACAAGTCATCCAGCCCACCTTCATCTTCCTGAGCTCTCGTATCATCCTGTCCTTCCGCGTTATCGACGCCGAGTTCTGGAAGTGATTTAGGCGCTGATAGTCCAAAAGATCCAGATAATCAGACCGGCAGAACCTTCCAGACTTCCACGCCAAAGACCACACGCCGCGATTGCTTGAATAATGCAGCCTCTTGGCGAGCCGCCTTCTGTCTGAGGAAGCGTGAATGCGGGGCGCCTCCGATGAGAGGTCCGAGGATGTGGGGGACTCCTGTGGCTGGTGGGTGGAGAGCCGAGTGAGTGGCCGTGAGGGTGAGCGGGATGTGGCTGACGAGTCGCCGGCCTGGGTGGAGGGCGTCGAGAGTTCGTGGGGCCTCCAGCCCATCCTCTCCAAGACCTCTTCGAGCAGCGCAGGTGGTCCTGGACGCACACACACGCACAGCAACATCCCATCCATTGTAATGTTCATTCCAGAAGGAGATGTGGGTGTGCGTACGGTCGAAGCATCTGTAGACCCTTGCGGCACCACTGCACCAGTCCGCCTCAGCCATTTGCAGTGAAAAAACCAGAAAGGACGGAGACTGGCGAGCTCGCGCCCCTGCGATGACCCCCACCACAAAAGAACTGCCCCAAAAGCGTTGTCAGCCTCGTAGCAGCGAGTTGAAGAGCTACGGCGATGCCGACAGCAGGTATACACAGCAATATGCACTGCAATGTCCGATGCATCATGCGCATGATGCTCATAGTACATCTCTGCTTACTTTATGCAGGCGAGAAGCGTCCGGTGACGCCGTCGCGCTTAAGCAGAGGGCTGCAGCGACCCCCGTCTGCACACACCCGTCGCGCGGCCACGCCCTCGCCGTCCCACGCGGCCCATCCACCGATGTATCTCTCGTCTTACCCGCACCATCACAATCGCTATCAGCCCTCACACAAGACTCCTCCATACAACATCCGGTTCTCCCTCTATCATGAAGGCCAGGCAGGTCAGTCTTGCACCGATATGGTCGTCACACGTGTCTGCACTGAACTGAAAGGCAATGTGACCTTTGTGCTGCGGCAGTTGCAGAGTCCCCCAAGGACAGCCGTTCCTCCGCGGCTCTCCCGAAGCGCCCCTCGACGGCCGGCGTCCGCCGAACACAGACAGGCCCTGAAACGCACTTTCAGCAGACCCCTTCTCACCGTCGCTTGGACCACCCGCCGCCCCAGCCCCACTGGACCACCACAGCCGGCACCAATAGTCCGGCCATCGCAGGGGCGTTCGTGACGCCGCGTCTGGGCAGCCGTCCGTGGCGGCCGGCGACGGCCACTGCTGGGACACGACGCGTCAGGGGTGGGGGAGGGGCCTACCTGGGGAGGGAGAGGGCTGTGGGGACGACGCGTCCCCCCGTTGCGCCGGGACACCTGCAGCAGCTGTTTGCTATGGGGCTGTCCACAGCCACACCGAGGCGAGCCGGTGAGTGAGGAGAGGCAGGAAAGCGTCGTCACTGTTGCCATACCGTGTTTGTTTCTCCTCTATCAGCGTCGCGTCCTGCATCGGCTGGCCGTCTGCGCAGTGCTCCATCAGCCAATCCGCGGCCCCCATCCAACTGGGTGGCGCCATCGGCATCGGACCTGCGTGAGCTGGCGACGCAACTGCGCATCATAAAGCCCTCGGACAAGCCCCCCCTTCCACCACAAGCGGTAAGCAATGATGGAAGGAAGCATATATAATGCAAACAAACACCCTCATCTCATCTTGTGCCTATTGTCTCCCGTGTCTGCAGACATTTCGCACTCGGTCGCGTTCCCGGCCCCCTTCAGCGCAGCGTGGGGGCCGGCCTGCGACCACGGCTGCGAAAGAGAGGGAGGCGGCATGGCGACCGGTGCTCGAGGGGGCGCCGCTCCTCATCACGGCGGCCACTAAGGAAGAGTCGGCGGCCAAGCGGACGACCACATCGGACGAGACTCCCGTGGAGATCGACATAGACGACACAGATAGCGTCGTGGGAGGCAATGAGGGCGAGAGGGAGGAGCATCAGCTACAGCAGCAGCAGAAGGGTTGGGGGGTGACCGGGTCTGGATCCGCTCACTCCTCGTCTCGGGGCAAGGAGGATCCCCACATGAAGCCCTCGTCTTTCCTCTCGCGCCTCCACTCCCCTCCCGCCGGCCCGCTCTTCGCCGGCCGGCCGCCACAGCCCCAAACACAGCCGCCGCCACAGCAGCAGGAGGGCAAGCTGTGTCTCTCTCTGAAGAACTCCATCCAGAAGGAGTTCCACATAGGCCGACTGCAGCAGTCCTCCTCCCCCTCCGCCTCTCCCCCGGTCCCCCAGGCAGCCTCACCGGCCAGCGTGAGCCGACAGGCAGTGCTCAGGAGCCTCGATGCACACCAGGACCACACACACACAGGGGAAGATGGAGGGAAAAGGCCTGCACTGACAGCAGCAGCAGCAGCAGCACCAGGGGCAGGGGCAGGGGCAGAGGAGAGCGCAGCCGCGAGCACCCGGCCGGCCACCACAGTGACATTGATGGCCACGAGTGAGGGTCGCGCGCCGCTCACTGGGTGGCCCGTGGGCGAGGGCGGGGTGCTGGGAAGGGTGGGCGGGTCATCGTATGTGCGTCAGGGTGTCCAGAGGGCCGTGACTGCGGTGCCGGGCAGTAGGCGTGAGAAGTGGAATGTCGGCATGCTCAAGGGGGAGGGGGAGGAAAGCGAAGACGGCCTGGCCAATGTCAAGGACGGTAGGTGGGCAAGCAACCGAGCACCAAGATGGTAGGGCTTTCATATGCATCCATTTCTCTGGCTGTGTGTTGCAGCATCGCCAGTTCCGCCCCTTGCTGACCACCAACAGCACCCGCCCCGTCCCTCGACAGGGGTGCCGACATCACACACGCCCCACCCCCCCAGGCCACCTAAGGCCATCGACGCTTCCCCGACCTCTGATCATGCGTCTAGAGGTCTGCAAAGTAGCTACACACCCCAACACCACCAGCAGCAGCAGCAGCAGCAGGGTTTGTCGTGTGCGGCGGCGTTGGATGCGTACCAAGTGGGCAAGCAGGTGGGGCAGGGCGCGTATGCCATCGTCAGGTTTGGAGTCCATAAGGTGGGTTGGGCTGTTGGGGGGTGGGTGGGGGAAACAGGGCAATGGCATAAAACGGATGAATGGATGGCTGTGTGGACGTGTGTGTGTGCACTGCAGGCGAGTCATCAGAAGGTGGCTGTGAAGGTTTACGAGAAGTACAAACTCCTGGACCAACAGAGACGCAAGAGCGTCCGCAGAGAAATCAGGCATGCACACACACTTCCATCCATCCATCCACATAAAACGGCGCAGACAGACTGCACACACCTCATCTCACCCCCCTTGTGTCTGCCCTGCCTGTGTGCAGGTTGCTTCAGCGTCTGTGTCACCCGAGCATAGTGCGGATGTACGAGGCCATCGACACCCCCAAGCAGATATACATCATCATGGAGTACCTCGGCGGCGGGTCGCTACACGCCTTCCTCAAAACAAAGGCCGGCAGGCGACTCGACGAGACACAGGCCAGGGGCATCTTCCTCCAGGTGGGGGTGGGTGAGGGCGTTGAGGGTGTTTGTATGTATGCATGGATGGATGGATGGATGGGCCATGCAGGTGTGTGATGCGCTGCGCTACTGCCACGATCGCAGTATCGTCCACAGGGACATCAAAGTACAGAATACTGCCCATCACGCACACACACAGGGTTTGCACTCTCTCTTTCTCTTCTGGTGTTGTTGGTGTGGCCTCGTGTCAGCTTGAGAACTTGTTGATGGATGACGAGGGCCGCGTGAAGCTGATCGATTTCGGTTTCTCGACCATTGTCGCACCGGGCCGCAAACTACGCATCTTCGTACGCTCACCCCGGCAGACAGGCAGTGGGTACACTTTGGTCCGATCCACGTATTGGTGTGCCTTGCCGTGTTTGGATCGATCAGTGCGGAACGCCGTCATACATGGCGCCTGAAAGTAATACAGATGGCCAGCCAGCAATACGGAAGCGACATACGAACGAATGAATTTCTGCGTGTGTGGTGTGGCCGTCTTGATGCAGTTGTGGCGCGTCGCGAGTATGACGGCTTCAAGGCCGATGTGTGGGCGTTGGGTGTCCTGCTCTTCGCCATGCTGGTCGGGCACTTCCCATTCAAAGGGGCCACAGACAAGTGAGGCAGCAATCTGCAGCGACCGACAGAGACCCAGCAAGCCCACTTTCTGTGTGCTCGTTCACAGGGATTTGTACCGGAAGATAGTGCGTGGGGCGTTCTACCTCCCAGACCATCTGTCGCCCTCGGTGCGTGCCCTACTGCAGCGTGTGTTGAGTCTGGACCCCAATCGCAGGCCACACCTGGGAGACCTCACAAGAGACCCGTGGTGGGTAGGGTGCACACACGATGGATGGATGGATGGATGGACAGGGGGAATGGCATTCTCTCTCTCTCTCTCTCTCCCTCTCTCTCTCTCTCTCTCTGTGTGTGTGTGTGTGTGTGTGTGTGTGGTGCGTGCCAGGTTCCATCCCTCATATACGTCTGACAGCACCAAGGCGCCCTCTTTGTCGACGCCGCAGCCGTCGGTCTCATCCAACACGACCACGCACACGCAGACCGCCCCCCACCTCAACCTGCACATCAACCAGATCGCCCAGAGACCCTTCTCGCCAACCACACCGACAGAGGCCACCACACCACACAACGCCCAGCACAAAGTGACCAACAGCAACATGGTAAGGCCCATCTACAGAGCAAACGAGACATCTCGTCAATCATCCGCCGATCTGTCAGGTGGGGTTTGCACATGAGAGGGTCGCTGCGAGATCGGGACTACCGCTTGGCGGGGCGCACTTCCACGTGCGGCTGAGCCACCAGCACCAGGGGTACCAGCGCCAGTATGCTGCTACTGGTGCTGCTGCTGGTGCTGGGTCGATGGAGACCAGGGTGGCACGGACCTATGGCGTCGCGCACAGCCCGGAGGGCAAGGCGACCACCGATAGGGGCAACAGGCATCAGTAGCTAACGCAGCAGGTAGGCGATGGGAACGGACACACACATTCCAACGATTAAGCGATATCTGATCTCATTAATTATGTGTGCAGACGGGCCGTCCTTGTGCTGTGAGTGAGTGCGTGAGTGGAGGGGTTTTCCCTTTTCCAGACGACAGATCGATGTCCACACGTATGGTAGGTATGCCATCCATCGCTGGTCAGCCAGTGAGTGCACATACGCGCGACTCAGCGAAGAGACCGAACGACCGACCGACCAGTGGATGGACGGACGAATGAATGAATGAAATGTGTCAAGAGTGGCGACGGACGGACGGACACAGCTGTGTTTTTGTGTGTTCAATGACATCTGACATGCGGACAATCTACTTGTGCGAGGGAGACCTGTACATGTGTTAATGTGGATCAGAGGTCACCCATGGTGTGTGTAAGTCCGTTTGATTGATGTAATCATGATCGAGTCCATCCCATTGGCGCATCCCGTCCAGCCCGCCGCCTCACAGATAGGCACACTCGCAGACAGACAGTGACAGGAAAAATAGTCAATCAGACAGACACACGCAGCTGCAACAGCACACACAGGTGCTGCAACCAGCTCCCTCTCTCAATCAGTGGCTCGTCCATTCATCTGTCGCTGCACACAGGCAACGCATCCGTGTAGCAAGACAAACGCCGCGCTCAGCCAGCTAAGTTACGCAGTCACATCTCGCCACCCCTCAATTATCTCCATCCCTCTCGTCAAACACACCACTGACAGCCAGCCAGACAGACAGACAGGCGCCCTCGACTGGCCGCCTGGTCATCCGTCTGCTCTCACAGTGAGTGGTCGATCACCATCATGTCGGCCTCCTCGTCCACCTCCATCATCTGCTCGTCGTCCGTAGGGGGCGACCCGATCGAGGCCATTGATGAGTTGGTGGCCGTGGGGGTGATGTGTGTGGGCTGGGGGAGGGGGAGGGGGAGGGGGGCGGGGAC